GATTCAATAATAAATTAGACTTACTATTTGATCCTACATACATGAGATCAAGTAGATTAATATCAACAAATAGATCTGAAATTAATGCTAAACTCTTTTGTAAATACAATGTTGGATGCTGTTTAACCTCGCATAAAAAGTCTTTTCTTTTGGCAACAATGACTCTGAAAATAAATGTTTAGATAGGAAAGATTCGATCAAATGATCAAATTTGTAGATACTTTCGTCTAATATATAGTAGAAACAAGAAATGATTGTTATTAAAGAAAATTTCAAATTATTTCTAATTCTAATTAAAAAATCAAGATAACAAAACAAAAAAAAAAAAAATTAAAAATTCAATTACTTTTGATTACCGTGATACATGTCGTAAAGTTTGTGCTAAACTATCAATAAGAGGGTAAAATATAAGAGACATCAATAGAAATTGCCAACAGAATCGTCGTTTATAACGAAATTGTACAAGTATGTTAATAATAACAACGATCACCATATATAAAATATATTATTATCTCACTCACTATTCGACGGAGTGACAAATTCATTTTTCAAGAGAAAATAAAAAAAAAAAAGAGATATTTTTTCTTTTTATAAATAGGAAAAATAATTTTTTCCTATTAACGTTATAAAAATTAAAAACTTATTATTAAAAAGAAAATGTATATTGCTAGAAGGCAGATAAAATTATCAATGATAAAGTTCAAAATATGAACCAAATTAAAGAAGTAAAAGAATTTTGATGTATTAATTGCTTAATTTATGAGAAAAAAAAACAACAAATTAAATTCGTGTCAAATACATAGAGAAAATGATATAAATAGAAGCGTATAATTTACATTAGTATTGAATAAAGAAAAGGGACATTAGATCGTTTATTAGAATAGAGTCGATTAACATCCGATGTTACTGAGAAAATTATTTCAATTATAATAGAGAGAAAGGAACAATAGTTTTCAAAATACAACAAACATTTGATTTAGAAGTTTCACTATCGTAAGTCAAAACTATCGTGTCGACTTGATTAATAAATAAAAAAGGAAAACAACAATTTCTTTTGCTGTTATCTATCTCATACAAATAAAAATTCAATCCAATGTTGTCGCATAAAAATAAGTCTTCATAAAATATTTTCATAACTTACCACGATATAATCACTTAAATCATCGAATTCACGTATAATCCATGATCATCAATCGGATATTATCAAAATTTGAATATCCGTTCTATAACTAATAAATTCTTGTTGTTACAAAGTATAACAGTAGACATATTTGTAACAAAAGAATATCGATACTTTTAATTGAAAGATATCGTAATTGAAAAATAATATTGTCTCAAAAAATCTGAAAAATCAAACGTCAATGTCAGAATGAAATTAAAAATAAAATACATTTTATGAATAAATTCTATTTCAGACATTTGACTAACTATCACTGTAAATTCAAGATTTAATTGCATTTCAATGAGTTTAATGGGTAGATTCTTCTTACAAATATTTTTTTGAGTCTAGACGCAACCTTCTTTTTTTTGGAGAACTCAAACTAAAAATTTTGTTTTGAGTTCGATTGATTTAACTTGACATGAATAGAATTGACTTTTTTGCGACATATCGTTTTCTTTTTCTTTGACATGCATCTCGAGTTCTATAAAAACAAGTCACTTTTTCTCAAAATTTTTCGTCAACGGTATACAACAAACAATGATGACAAAGTTAGAGAAAAACAAATGAAAATGAATATTTTTTTATTTTTGAATAATAAATGCTAAACTTTGATCTCGTAACTATCTTCTTCTGTTAAAATCGATTTTTGTTAATAATATTAAGAAACCTCACAATGATAAAACGGAAAATATGGACACTTTTACATTTTTTCTAGCGAAAAAGGACTCAAAAATCTTCACTTATTCATCTATTTATTAATAAAAAAATTTCTATTTTAACCTTGAAGTTTTGCAGAAAAGTATTCCTTTTCTGTTATTTGCTAATAAGTTTTCCGAATCTTTAGTCTGATCCAAAATCTTTGCAAAAATATTGTTCAACATCATTCGTAGTCTGGGCATCTTTATCTCTTGACTTTTTTTGTTTTATAAAATTTTGAAAAATTCTTGGTTTTTGATATAACAAACTGTTTTCGTCAATCACTGTAACTTTTAGAAAGAAATTAAATAACAGAATCAGCTTGTCAAACTACATACAATTTTGTTTTCATGATGGAGATGTTAGTAGTGCTGGAATGATTTTTGCTCGGATAAAACAACGGGACGGTGCCACTTATAATACAAGGACAGTCGTTCATTTTATGACGCTAATAACATCGTACAAAGATGTTTAAATTAACTTGTACGAGGTATTATTTCATATTTTGTTTAGCATATAGCATTACTTTGTAAACAGAGGTCATGGTAGCTTACTTCGAAACAAGATTCTGCAATTTCTCATCCTGGACAGTTGTACAATGTTTTGCTATTCCATATCCAAATTATATTTGCTGCTTTTTACACCTCTATGAACGAGTGTGTTCTTTTTTTACATCATAAATACAAGGGTAAGGCAAAAGTAGATTCTTTCATTGATCATCGAAAATGGCTTTTATTTGTTCTAAACCACCATATTTATCACATAAATAAATAAATCATTACATATTGAAGCATGTTAATCGTTCTATTTTGCATATCTATTTTATTAATGATGATTTCATATGTTATGACATTGGACTTCAGATTTTGTTATTTTTGCTTTCGTTTGCAGAATAAATTTAATGATTTTAAAGTTGTCGTATTCATAACATAACGTATAAATGTGTTGAACTTTTCAATTCCATAAAAAACAAGTTCAATTAAATGATGATATTTTCTCTAAAACACAACAATATTAATAGGTTCGCTAAAACAAATAAGGCAAATAATCTACATGTCTATTTATAAATTTGTGACGTTTTTGTCGTGGTAATCTATCTTATTCTGTTCATTTTCAGTACCATTTGTAAATGCGATAGTCTCACCAATTTGATTATTTCCAGTAAATTGACTACAAATTTGCCATTTGCTACGATTTAAGAATGTTGCTTGTCTACGAGGCGTGCAGGTATTTGTAGATGTTGAAAAAAAAATGTAGTTGTGGAAAAAACAACACGAGATATTTGTAAAACAAGATGTATGGTAATATTTTATTCAATGTAATCTAAAAACAAAACAACAAAATCCTGAACAACAGAAAACTACAAATTAATAGTGTCGCATGCACAAAGTATCTGATTTTCTGATTTACAGTTCTCAGCAAAAAGACTGAACTCAAATAAATTGTAGTAATTTGATTGATTGAATTTCATTACACAACAAGTATTGATTAAAGCGTTGGTCGTTGCACATTTGATTCACCTAAACGACTTTAGACAATTTTTCATATTTTTCAAAATATCACGTTTAATACATAGTAATATCATACTTTTAGTGTAGCTCCACTAAATGTTTTTACGGCAAAAGCGTAGCGCTTTCACAATTTTGGTTACAAATCTTAAACCAGTAGAAAAACTGATGAAACGATTCCATCGTGAAAAACGGTATCCCCATTATAGTTTTACCACTTTTACTGACGTCGCTCAGTTCTAAATCAAAGCTCTTCATAACAGCTGAAAGAGTCATTCGAAGAAAAATTGACGTAAACAAAAGATGGGCAGAGGATTACTATGACTTATACAAAAATAAAATAAAGTAGATTTTATAAGAATTTATTGTGATAAAATTTGATTGATCAATTTTACTTAAGGGTTGGCTTAATTCTTGGTATTTCTATAAAAATCCTGATTGTTGACTTAACTGTAATTTGAGACATCTTAAATCAGTACTGTAAAATGACACAATAAAACAAACTAATTGTTTGTACAGTGGTTAAATCGATGCTTATACATTCATGTCATGAACGTAAGAATATCGAAGAAGTATGTAGATATTTATGGGTTGTTTCCTTTTAGCTCCAAGGAGAGACTAACTATCATCAGTGTGCATTGATCCTGGCTCCTTGGAGCTACTATTTGGAGCTAAAAGGAAAGAATGATGTTCATGTTATACTTGTCCTACTCTTCGAAAAAGAATAAAATCTATTCGTTCAACAGAAATCAAATTAAAAGCTGTTTTGTTGTTGTCGCTCTGCTCGATTTATCATCGTTATTCACAACCAAAAAATTACTACTTTCATATACTTGTGTCGTTCTTTCTACGTAAAGCATTTGTATCAACGATTTAAATTAAATATCATAGAAAAGCAGCTCGCTGTCTGTTTGTGAAATATGAAGAAAAATCTTACAATATCACATTGGTTCATATGATTGATTGGAGGGTCGTTTTCATAGCGGTAAAAACCAGACCATGACAGCAAAACAAATGCTCAGAATGTTCGGTAGGCTTAATTCTAACAAGTGTATTGTTGTGCAATTTTTGTGATCTAGCAACACACTTTCTTACTCTAGTTGACTCATTAGTTATTTCCGGTACAAGAAATTTTGTCTCAATGATATTCTTCGTGTATGACAAATGAAAATGATGATCATAGTCAAATGGATATAATCGAATGATTCGATTTGAATGTCCTTATCGTAATTGTTTGGCTATTTAATTTTCAATTGCATCTAATTATAAGAATTGGATAGATCAAAGGATGCATAAAAGAAATGAAGATAAATTTGAAAGTTATTGTCAAAAAATATTTTTTACAAAGTCTACTCTTACGAGTGTGAAGGTTGCTTAAAATTAAGTTAAAGGCTTAGGAAAGATCAACCATGTTTTTTACGAGCAGTAAAATTATGAAAGTATGGTTGTTGGCTTCTTTTAAGATGAAAACTAAAATCGTGCAAATGGAAAGCTTGCCTCTGCTCTCGCTTCTCGTTATAAGCGATAAATCTGCCAATATACATTTTATCCATCTCTCCGTAATTATTTGAAATTGAATTTATATTCTCTAGATCAATTTGATCAAACAACGAACAGTTAAAAGATAACTGAAAATGTCTGACACCGAAATAGACACCGAAATAGACGAAACACCTCGTCCAGCGGCGGCTGATGACCTTGATTTAAATAAATCATTACAAGAAGGTAAAATCGATTATATGTGAATTGTTTGCTTATATTTCATTCATTTTTTTTTTCTTCTTCTAGTGCTAAAAGCAGCTGCCACACACGATGGTCTAGCACGTGGTTTAAGAGAAGCCGTTAAATCTTTAGATAAACGTGAAGCACATTTATGTGTATTAGCATCAAATTGTGATGAACCGAATTATGTTAAACTAATTGAAGCATTATGTGCAGAACATAATATTAATTTATTACGTGTTGATGATAATAAAAAGTTAGGTGAATGGGCCGGTCTATGTAAACGAGATAAAGATGGAAAAGCAAGAAAAGTTGTTGGATGTAGTTGTGTTGTGGTGAAAGATTTTGGAGATGATACACCAGCACACTATCACTTACAAGAATATATGAAAAAAAATAAAAGTGCTGCGTAAACAACAATTATAATCACCAGCATGTTTCAAAAGATGAAAAAATATGCTTGTTTGTCGGTATTTTTTTCTGTTATCTATTATATTGTTTTGAATTTTTCTATCTATAAAACATCCTAATTAATTAAACAATAAAAGAAAAAAACGAGCAGATAAGCTAAGGATATGTTGATAGTCGTTTTAAGCCACTGTATATATTTCTGGTTTGAACCGTAAGTAGGGATGAAACAGTTCCATTTCAGTTCCTGGTAAGGATCAGACCTGTCCCTGATAACAGTTTGAGTTCAAAAAGTGCTACTAGTTCTTTTGAAAAGAACGGGAACTAGTACCAGTTTTTTTCAAAAAATTAAAACTGAAATAAAATTCACTTTGTGTAGTGCGGCAGAGGTGGATGGTGTGTTTAACCGACTAAACTAAGTCACATAACTAGCTATATCGGTTTTATTTTATTTTGAAGTCTTGAAAAAAAGTCGTAACCGGTTCTCGTTCAACAGGAACAGAACTGGTAGCAATTCTCGTTTGTTTGAAAAGAACTGGTAACCAGTAGAGGTCTGCGGGACCTTTTACGAAACCGGGACCTAGAGATCTGCGAAACGGTCCCGTAGGACTTTTAATGCGACGGGGATCAGGTTTTTTTGAGAATGGAACATAAAAATTTCTTAGTTTCTGTACTTGTTTGTATGTAGACACCAGTTCTGGGAGAAAGAACTCATAGAAAAGTCTGTGATTGATACTACCCACGAATGCTGTTCCACGAGTCACATTACAACCCGCTGACTTTCAAACTATTGGCGCTACTTTGAAAAAATATTTATGGAACCAAAAGTTTTTTTCTTCACGGGACCGGAATCAAAAAAGTTTGGTCCCGCAGGCCTCTAGTAACCAGTTTCCGTTCAACAGGAACTGAACTGGTGACCATCCCTCATCAACTGTCCCATCCCTAACTGTAAGAAGACTCCGAACATTGATAATGCTTTTAAACTAATTTTGAGCAAATTCTGGTTCAGTTTAAAAGACATCCAAGCAACGAAATAAAAACATGTGTTTTGTGATGAATGTAGAAAGGCTCTGTTGTTCATTCTCGTGGCTGTTTTCGACGTTCTTTCATAATTATTTACATAATAAGGTTTTTAAGCACAAACTGTTCGATATAGATTTTGTTTTAGATATAATAGAAAAAGTTTTTCAGTAGATACGAACATTATGGCATCTATTTTAAAACTTCAAGTTATATCTGGTGCCTATAATGAAGGACCATTAGCCTATTTATTACAAACAGATGATTATCGATTTTTACTTGATTGTGGATGGGACGAAAATTTTAGTCAAGAAATTATTGATGAATATAAACGGTAAGTGACTGTTTTTCTTCGCTTAGACTTGTAAAATGACGCTTTGTTGTTTAGACATATAAAATCGATTGATGCTGTACTTATCACGTATCCCGATTTATATCATTTGGGTGCATTACCCTATTTAGTTGGCCATTGTGGTTTAAAATGTCCTATTTACGCAACAGTGCCTGTTTATAAAATGGGACAAATGTTTATGTATGATTTACATCAGAGCCGTTTGAATAACGAAGATTTTAATTTATTTACGTTAGATCATATTGATGCGGCATTTGATCAATTTATAACATTAAAATATGATCAATCAGTTGCACTCGAAGGTATATCTTGAAAAATGAAAAAATGAGAGTAAATTATCGATGTGTTTTTTTATTAGGAAATGGTAACGGTCTTGTAATAACACCATTACCAGCTGGACATATGATTGGTGGAACGATATGGAAAATAACAAAAGAAGGTGAAGAAGAGATTGTCTATGCTGTTGACTATAATCATAAAAAAGAACGGTAGAATAAAAATCATTATTTATTATATTGACTGGGTAGAATAACTGAATATAAATAATTGTTTTTTATCGTATTCTAGTCATCTGAATAGTTCAAATATGGCTAAAATTAATCGACCAACATTATTGATAACAGATGCGTTAAACACAATTTCACAAGGTCAACGGAAAACAAAAGATGCATTACTACTAAGTAAGTTGCTTAACTAAACTTTTTTATTCTTTGTTTGACGCCATATGTAACGAAAATGGTTAGAACACTAAAAACGCTTTGTGAATGAAGATTCGCGAAACTTTTTCGCCGGGAAGTGCTTCCTTCCCGAGTTATAACATTTTTCGTCTAAAAGCCTTAAAAAAACTTTAAACATATTATCTATTGAAATTGCATTTAATAGGCGTCATATGTTGGTATAAGAAGTCGATCAAAAGCTCATAATTCGAGTCTCGCATATGTGCAGTTTGCGCTGATATTATACTGTACCATTGATATCCGAGAAGTAAAAATGCAATAACTTTTTTTCTACTGAACGCATCTTTTTTATCTTATTTGTTTCGTCTGCTCACTATCACAAAGGGTAGCCGCTCTTTAGCTGCTTTCGTTACTACAATATAACAGTTACATTGTCACATGCAAAGGTTTTTGGTGAGCTCTATTGTTGAAAAATGAATTTTTTTCTAAAGACGGAATGAATTTTAATTCTTTTTCTAAGGAATAATTTGAAGACTAACTCGCTGGAAATATATAAATGAATTAACGGTTTAATTGAATTTTTTATGCGAATAAATCAAAATAATGTTGTTACAGACACTTTAGTCTTTTTCTGTTCCATGAGATTGAATCTCGCATATCTCAGCTAAAACTAAATGCAATCTTTATCAAAAGTAGTCAAAATACAGCCCACAGATTGAAAATCATTTTGTTAAAAAAAATAAAAGATCGATGCTTTCCTTACTGTAAAAAATGGCAATTACTTTTTCTGAAAACAAGCGTCACACACTAAATGTCCCGTAAGATTATCAATTTTGTTTTTCTAATATATCCGTTAATATTCAACTTTTCGTGACGATTATTTTTATCCTTTTTTCCCTTTGCGATGTACAGTAGATGCCTAAAGCTACGGCTCAAATCATTTTGTCGTTCCTAAGAAAAATGTTCCACGAGATTTTTTTCCAGTTCACATTGTCTCGTGAGATTAAACCCGTCATATTCCCATATTTGTATAGTTTTTTTATCAATGGTTGCACTATCAGAATTTACTGAGATAGTAAAAAAATAGTCCATAAGACAGTTTATTTTTTACGGTTTTTTACGGAAACGGTACAATGGCAGATCGTACATATATACAAATCCGTGCCTGCAAAATGAGGGAATATTAATGACGTTGATACTTTTAACCTTTTTTTCTGTGAAAAATAAAAATATTTAACTTGGATTTGACTGCACAGAACAACTGCTGCTCTATTGAAATTTAAAACTCTCACCTGAAAAGGATCGTCTACTGGACTGACAGGTTACCGCACAGTTGATACAAACTGATAATGGAGTATTCTAAAAACTAAATTTTTATGCCTGAAGATGTATATTACAGACGCCTCTCAATATGCATCTGCCAGTTGGACACTCAGCAAAAAACCGAAGTACTCTGTTTTTCGATCTAAGCGTAGAAACTTATACTTCAACATATGGGTGATATATTCCAAAAAGAATTTTTATTCTAACTTCTAACGATCACGAGAAAATACTTAGACAAAAGTTAGCCTAAAACACATTGGATGCGGTAAAATAAATTTTCCATTAAAGCCAACTAAGTCCAAAACAAAAACGGCATAGACTGTGAATTGAGATTTTTTTTGATTAAATTAACGAAATAAGTTCATAGTTTGGACTCATAGTGTTGGAGAAACAAATTTATTTTTCACTAAATTTCCGTGGACATATGATCGGTATAAGAAGTTTCCGGATTTCTAAACTTTACCAAAATGTTTGTCTATATACAACACATCTATATGCAACTTAATGCAAGTCTTTTCCTAGCTATCACTGCAGAATTTCTCAAAATCTATTTTTCTCAATCTAGAAATACTTTCAAGGAAAAATAATGTCAAATTCGGGACTAGGCATCGAGTTGCATCGAATCATGTATAACACAATAAGTTTTGAATCGAATAACTATCTATTGAAATTTTTCCCGTGACCTGCAAGACCAATTTTTTCTGACAACGTTTAGTTTTTGATTAAGAGCATCATAGCTGACTAAGTAATGATAATTATTCATTAAAAAATGTTTAACGAACATTATATGACCGCTTGCTATTTTAAAAATGCCCACTGTGCTCTCATAGTTAGTCGTATGCTATGCCACTTAAACTCTCTGATGCTGACTTGAGTTTTTAAACATATTTATAGGTAGACTAATGGAAGCTGACGAAAAACGTCGTAAAAGTTAATTTTAATTTGACATATCAATGAACCCTTGAGACTCGAGGAGTCCAAATATACATGTCCCGATGTCGTCTTGCACATGTACGAGCATATATCGTTGAAAAGTGCTTGTTTATGTTGTAAAACATAAACAGCCCTTATTGTTGCAATGTTTATTTTTTATAAGAATTGTACTGTACTATCAAACACAATTGGGTTTTCAAAAACTAATAAAAAACACTTCTGTGACTCTTATAGTCACGGAATATAATGTTTTAGAATCGTTTCGCAATAGTGAGACAATTAGTTCATTAATATTAAATTAAATAGTTTTTCCTTATATATCAAACGTAAATGGAAATCATATCCAGACGACTTAATCAGAGTAGTGCTTTTTCTCCGAGAATCCAATAAGAATGTGAAACAGTTTATTCTTTTATATCGAATCACTATAGTTTTGATTTTTATATGGATTTATATTTATTTGAAAAGCTGTAACAATAACTCAAGTTTTAGTAAATAATTTAAAATGATTTCGTACGTGTTGTTGTTATTGAAACTTTTCTTTCTTAGTAATTTGTTATGAAGAGTTTAATTTTAGTAATAGAATTCTACTTTCTTCTTTTTTTATATTTTTAGCTACAATATTAGAAACAATGCGTCGAGATGGAAATGTTTTGATATGTGTTGATACAGCCGGACGTGTACTTGAATTAGCATTATTACTAGTAAATTATTTCAATATTTATACACATTTGTATGAACAAAACGTCTCTTTTAATTTTAGGAACAATTGTGGCGTAATGAAGCATCTGGTCTGTTTGCCTATTCATTAGCATTATTAAATAATTTTAGTTTTCAAGTTATTGAATTTGCTCGTTCTCAAGTCGAATGGATGAGTGATAAAATTCAACGACAGTTTGAAGAATTACGTGCAAATCCATTTAACTTGAGATTTGTTAAATTGTGTCATAGTTTATCAGATTTGTCAAAAGTACCAGCACCAAAAGTATGTCTAATATTTTCATATAGATGTCATTTATTTTTTTAATATTTTATTTTCCTAGGTTGTACTTGCTAGTCAACCAGATTTAGAATGTGGTTTTGCTAGAGATTTGTTTATTGATTGGTGTCAAAATGAGAAAAATAGTATTATATTAACAACGAGAACAAGTGTAGGAACTTTAGCAAGAGAATTAATCGATAATCCCGATTTAAAAACAATTGAAGTTGAAGTAGGTATCAATTTTATAAAGTGATAGTTGACAGTTTTCATCATTTGTGGAGAAAATGTCGATTGAACACATGATGGAAGAAGCATTTAATCTTTATAACTGAAAGTACAGAATTTACCTGTGAGAATGAAAAATTTTCGCAAGAAAAATTCCCCAGAGAAAAGTATCATCATTTTCTATTAATTTTAGGCAAAAATACTATTTTTTAAAAAACTTTTTTAGAATAAAAATCTCTCAACGGCAGTCGAAGCAAATGGGTGTATTCTACATCTTTGTTTTAATAATTGTGCTTGAAAAATATGAAAAGACTTTTTGTACTCTTAAAACGTATAAAACGGTTATTTAATCGAAGTTTTACTTTTCTTTTATCACAGAGACAAATTTTGTATTATTTTTCTCTCTCTATAAAGGTCCGTCGTAAAGTTCGATTGGAAGGTGTTGAATTAGAAGAACATTTACAACGGCAACGTGAATTAAATTCTCAAAAATCCGGTGATAGTACGTTGAATAATTTAACATTGAAAAAACAATTATCAAATTCCAAAAAGAGAGCAATTAAAAATCGTACATCTATTGATCAAATGGAAATATCCGATGATGAAAATGAAGATGATGAAAATCTTGATGATGAAGACGATGAAGAAAATCGAAAAATGATTGATACAGGAACAGTTTCAACTCCTACAGTACCATTATCCGGACTTATTTTAACAAATACTGACGAACAAACACCACAACCACAAACACCATTGATAATAACAAATCCAATGCAAAAAGAACAACAACAACGTGGTTCTAATACACAAGCCATATTTGCTCCAAAACGTAAAAATTTTCCCATGTTTCCCTATAAAGAAGAAAAATTTGTATGCGATGATTATGGTGAAATAGTAAGTGTTGATGATTATATGATTGTGGATGTTAAACATCCAATACCAAATGAAACAAATTATGGTGATTCAGATGAAAGACGTGGTGATGCATCAACTACGAATAATGATCAGTTTGCAGATATAACAAATGAGCAATACATAACAGGACCAATAAAAGTACAACAACATCAGTTAAATGATCATCCACATCATCTATCAACTCAACAACAACATGTTCCATATAAAACAGTTTGTGAAAAACGAAAATTAGAGTTAAATTCAAAAATATTATATGTAGATTTTGAAGCACGTAGTGATAGAGAATCAATTGAAAAATTATTAAATTCTATTAAACCAAAAAATTTAATTCTTATACATGGTACTCAAGAATGTGTTGAACAATTAGAAAAATATTGTTTAACAAAACAAATTGTTCAAGGCCGAATATTTTCGCCACGTGTTAAAGAAATTGTTGACGCAACAACAGAAAGAAATCTTTATCAAGTAAGTTATTGGTGAAAGGGAAAAAAATTTAGCTGTCTAACAAAAAATATCCAGTTAGAATATCGTTTGTTAGAAGTATGAGTCAAACTCTCTCATCGTTAAAAACGTAGAGAACATATCGAGATGAAATTATTAGTTGTCCTATGAAGTTGAATCCCTGGTCGATCAAAATGACGAAAATCTTATATACTACAGTCGATAGAAATGCATACTGTAATTATAAGATTCTTATAATTCGCAATATAAGAATCTTATAAGAATTAGGGCTGTGACAGTTACCAGTTACCGTCACCATCGTTATTCGGTAAGGGTAATTGCTGAACAGTTGCCATTCCTGGTAATGGTAACGGGTAAGCAGTTATCATTACAAGTAACGATAACGATCAGTTACAAATAACGGTAACTGTTCAGTATATCCTTCAAGAGTCAAATCTCTGATGACAGTTATTTACACCTGATCGAGCTATATCCTATCATCGTTTTATCCACTACATATGAAGAATGTTTTGTGATGGCTATCAAGATCAAACGAAGACTAGTTTTTTCTATTATGTTTCAAAAAGTGAATAAACGGCACAAAATAAAATAAACAATGTTTTCAGTAAACAATGGAGAATAAAGAAAACAAATTTTTATTTTTTATTTTTATTTTTAAACATTATTTTTTCTCTTATCATAAGATGTGTACATACATATTTTTCATTCAATACAGTACAACTGAGAAGAGAGAGTAGAGTCTCTTGCTCATTTTATTCAAATGGTGATTTCGTCATTTTACGATCGATTGATTGTATCTTATCTTGACTATCGTGAATGCATTTATTACGTCTTGTATTCCAATATAAAAGATAAACGATAGCAAATTTTGTAGACCTTATTCGCTGATCATTTTTGGCGCAACAGAGTATAGCCGTAATCGATCGGCAGTTATAGTTACTGTAACGATAATGGTAACTGTCACAACCCTAATAAGAATTAAATAAGATTTTAGTATATAAGTTTTTTATAAGATTCTTATAATCTTATAGTGACGTTCAAAACGTAAAAACGTTCAAAAATTCAAACTTTACCCTTCTCCTCCAGACAACAACAAAAAAAGTTGTTGTTTTTTACTATAAGAATCGTATAAATTTTTATAGGAATCTTATAAATTTCTTACATAAGAATCTTATAACTACAGTATGGATTTCTATCGACTGTAAAATTAAGATTTCTATAAGATTCTTATAAAAGAAGTATACGAATCTTTTATAAGATTGGATCTCTAGAAATTGTACCATCATTCACTTTTTTTAATACTTCTTTCAAGTCGCAGTATCATTTGTCGAGTATAAGCGTTTGGTTAGAAAAGCTGTTTTTATAAGATTCAAGAAATGCTCTTTTCATATCTGACATGGAATCTAGAATTAATTCGCGATATTCGAACTAAATTTTACAATTTATCTCTACCGTGATGTATCTTAAGAAGTGTTCAGGTCAACTTTTACGTAATATTTTTTTCAATTAGTTCTGTTATCGAATGAAAAATGCGCCAAACGATTATCTGTTGGTTCTAACTCTATATAATAATAAGTTTTTTATTTGATTAAATCGTTAATTCACCGTTATAGACAATGAGGTGGTTCTCTTTCTCAGTTGTATTTGTTTTCTTTCTGAAAAAGATCATTTTCTACTATCTTCAAGTGCAAGTGTTACTAAACATACTTATTATTCTATCAATAGTTTATAATCCGTTAAGTGATGCGATAGACGAAGTACATGTTGTTAGAAAACAGAATCAATCCACGAATGCTAATTTTACAAATTTATTTTCTATGAACAGTCAGAGGACTACCACAATCTCGTTATCCAGAACAGTATCGACACAATTAGTAACAATTCAACTATCCACAAACTTTACATACGTTGATGACTTTCAAAAATTGTTACAAAAAATATCTAATTTTTCTATCGTTCCCTTCATACTATTTGTTGTTATTGTAGTCATCTGTTTGAGTATAACTTGTTTTCGACTACAACAACAAACAGCAAGAATAACAAGTTTAACAAAATGTTTGGCAGAACAAACGAAAAAAGTATCTAAAAGTAAAAATAAGGGACAATCAGCTAACGTGGAAGAGGAATTATTATTTCAAGAATATGACGCGGAAGAGGCTGACACAGAAATCACTGAATCAGTATCGGAACCGGAAAAAATTGAGCACATGTTCTTAAACTGATCTGAAGAGCTATATAGAATTGATGCTCAAAAGAGATAATAACAACGAAAGAGCGGACGGATAGATGAAAATCTGTCACAAAGAACTAATATCTCTTTTGGGAGTAAGCCAAAATTGATGATAACATGCTTAATATGGAAACGTACGGTATAATCTAATTCTGTATATATTAGTGTTATTATTTTACATATATGTACAAAAAGTTCATTCAACCTTATTTTCGATATTGGTGTGATCATAGTCCGAGTTAGTTTTATTAAAGTTATTTATTGAATTTTTAACGTGAAGTACGATATTGTATTCTTATAGAAAAAATTAGTTATTTCAATATAGATGTTACTTATTGCCAGTCATCTATGTCTCTGAGTTTACTTCTATTGATGTTTAAACACAAATTAAGGTTCTTCCCTGTCGAAAAACGATTTTGAGAATTATACAACCGATTTGCTGAAACTGTGAGAATGTTGTATGATGAAGTAGAGTTATAGTAAGATCTTTCATCTGTCAGAGAATATTGTTCGAACAGGTATCAAAATGAGGCATTCAAGGATTATTAAATTTCTTCTTTCCGAGTTTTTTCACTAATCTATACCCCTTGACAATTTTTTGAAATATAATGAAACTACTGTATACTCATCTGTTAAGGATATTAGTATATCAATCATAACTTCTGGTTTAATTATCGCCCAGAGCTGACAGATATTTTGATTGGTAATATTTTCTCAAACTAAAGCTTTTTGTATCTATTTTCCTTATAAGAGTTCAGGAGAATAGAGCGTTTATGAAAAACTAGTTATTAAAGACTTTTACAAAACTTTTTCAAAACTTGACATAAACCTTCAATGTGTCCGAAAGCAATATGAATTCTGAGAGTAGATATGATGAACTTTATTCAGTCATGTGCTCATCTCGATATGGATCTTCTGAAAAACATCATCATTTCTGATAGAAGAGAAACGTTAAGCTAGAATAATTAGTAAGGAAACCGCGGGTGTGTTGCTCAAATTTAAATAGATTTTTCTATATCAATTAAGATCAAACTGAAAGACAGCTTACTGAGTTCAATAACATTTTCAAAAACTCGTGATGTTGATATAGCATGGGTCGATGGAATGATAACGAATGCAGCTAATCAACAAACAACGACGGCAACATCAGCAGCAACAACTGTCACAAGTATGTAGTTTCTTTTTAGTATGATATTTTATATTGTGCAACTATTATTTTAAAGATATTGGACAATCAAATGCCGAATGGTATTTAAATCCTTTACCACGTGATATGAAAGAACATGTAAGTATCAGACTGGCCTTTTCAATTTTAATTCTTAAAAATAAAACATTTTTTATATTGTTCTTTTTAGATGATACCACATTCATCTGTATTTGTTAACGAACCAAAATTATTACATTTAAAAATGATTTTAATTCAACAATATGGTTTAAGGGCAGAATTTGTTGGTGGTGTTTTAACGTGTGAAGACAGCGTAGCAATTAAGCGGGTTTGTTCTTTTCAATATAAAATAATGAAGAGTAAATTGTTTTTTGTCACTGGTTTCAGGTTGAGGGTGGATCTGGTCAAATTATTCTTGAAGGTCTCTTATCTGACACCTATTATAAAGTTCGACGTATTCTATACGACCAATATGCAATATTGTGATGATGACATTGATATTGTTTCTGTTATGCGTTTTATTTTGTACAAACTCTCTGTTTATTGTAAATTCTATTAAGTGTTTGCTTTTTTAATAATAAGAAAGAAAGTTTCTTAATGAAAATCTTGTACTTAATTATAAACAGTAATTTCGATCAAGGAAGGCAGTAGATGCTGGTCTCTCTTTCTGAGATTTTTGATTTCCATAATTGTATTGAAGGTTGTTGATATGTTTCAATGACTTTTCGGTTCAACTAACCATTATCTCTAAAATTAACGGGTGGGTCAAAATAAATGGCGGTCTCAGTATTTTGAGAATATCTCTTTCAGTTTTCATCGCTCAAATTTCGACTTGGTATTAAAAGATTCGTCATTTCATTCTCTACAAAAAACATATTAAATATTTGTTTATATACCGTAGAAATAAAAGAATATAGGTAAAATACTGCAAAGCTTCACTTCCCATTACTTTCTAACCTAAAAAACAGTTTTTCAATTGTACTATACATTTCAAAAAAAGAATGCCCCTGACTATTTTTCGAATAACTTTTGATAGAAAGTAGATAAAGAGATGCGGTTTTCGCTCTTCAAGAGCGAACACCTTAAAATATCTTGAGAAATAAAAATCGAACCAGGTTTACCACCTGCAGGTGGTAAGCCATTCACATCTTTGAAAGACAAGGTTGGAAAAAGAACGAAAAAAAAAGATTTTTTTCAAACGTTCTTTTATAGATTTCAACCAGCAAACCTTCTTCTACAAAACCCCAGAGAGCTCATTTTTCTCTGTTCTCCCGTTCCCGATAGGGAGCGATTCTCCGAGGACGATCCTAATTCACGCTTTTTTCACTTATAATATCGAACGAACATTTCCCAAATAGGTTTTCGACTATGCTGATGTTTCACATGGTAATGTTTATTTTTACTTTGAAACGATTGTTGATCGTGATACAGCACTGATTACAGTTCGAACTGAGGCTTTATTCATAACATAGCGAAAATTAACAACGAAGTACCTGTAGAAAATAGAAAACAATAGAAAAAAATTTAGTCTTCCTCCGAAATTTCCTTGCCTTCTTGAAAATCGTCATCATCTTCATCCACTAAATTTTTCAGCATAGCGAAACAAAAAACATTTCCTTTATCTCCTTAGAAAATTCGTGGCCTTTAGGCATAATAAACTTTTAAATCAAAATTTTTAGAAAGTGTAGATTATAATTTAGAGTACAATGACCAGAGCAGTGTCTATAGACACCTATCTATTGCTTGAGAGAAGAAAGAGAATTTTTCTATTCTGTGTCTATGCTTATACTATATTTATATCATGCACCTGTTTAGGATGAAGCAGATGTGTGTCACTTTGGACCAGGATCAGGGTGGCCAGATGAAAAAATTCAAAATCAGAAAATTTCCCTATCAAAACCAGAAAAAAATCAGAAAGTTGATTTAATGCGGCAACTAGTCAAACATGTTTCGTTCAACATATAATTTATCGCTCCTTTTATTGAACTGTATTATCGTTTTATGTAGATAGATATCATGTGGATAATATCGTATCAATAGTAATAATTCGGGCATTCATATGAGAACGAACTAGCACGTTTGAAACAGAAGAAATGAAAATCAGGAAAATCAGAAAAAATCAGAAACCAGAAAGCCATCAGAAAAAGTGTTCAAAATCAGAAAATGTCTGAAAAATCAGAAGATCTGGCCAGCCTGACCAGGATGCCCAAATCCAGTTTTTCGAAATCAGGAGCTTTTCATTAAGAATCAGGAGCTGGTCAGACGATTTTTGCTAAAAAATCAGGAGGAAAATCAGGAGATTTTTTTCGAAATCAGAAGAAAAACAGGAGAATATTAGACAGTTTTTCTTCGACAAGCAAAACAAAAAAATCCAATCACTTTTCAAAAACATAGTGTTTTTTGAAATATTTTTTGATGGAACAGTATTATCATTTGTTACAGACTGCAGTACGGATTGGGGAAGAAATTTTTGATCCGATGAATTTGGAAGTTCACTAATCTCATCTTCTTGTGATGAAAACATTCGATAAGCACACAGCGGACTCTTTCAATGTACAATTATGTAGACTCTTGATCCAGAAATTCTGTTTCTGAAACTGATAATCTGTTTTGAAAAAAACAAAATCGATGCAGGAAAACAATTGAAAATCAGAAGAAATCAGGTGAAAATCTTAAAAATCAGGAGATTTGGGCACTCTGGTTTGGACATCAGTCAAAAGACGATAGCGGAAAAACCTAGTTCTTTCAAGTGAATTAACCACTGTGTTATAGTGAAAGTTTGTTCCAGAGTAAAGACAAACATTACCATGTGAAACATCAGCATAGTCGAAAACCTATTTGGGAAATGTTCGTTCGATATTATAAGTGAAAAAAGCGTGAATTAGGATCGTCCTCGGAGAATCGCTCCCTATCGGGAACGGGAGAACAGAGAAAAATGAGCTCTCTGGGGTTTTGTAGAAGAAGGTTTGCTGGTTGAAATCTATAAAAGAACGTTTGAAAAAAATCTTTTTTTTTCGTTCTTTTTCCAACCTTGTCTTTCAAAGATGTGAATGGCTTACCACCTGCAGGTGGTAAACCTGGTTCGATTTTTATTTCTCAAGATATTTTAAGGTGTTCGCTCTTGAAGAGCGAAAACCGCATCTCTTTATCTACTTTCTATCAAAAGTTATTCGAAAAATAGTCAGGCGCATTCTTTTTCGAAACGTATAGCAGTTCTTTGTATTTTGTGATACAGAATAAGAGAAGATGACCGTTTTGTAGCCTTTGAAAAGATCTATCAATTGACTGTGATCATAATCGCAATTGGTTGCGGGAGACGTTTTTGCTTACCGCTTTTATTAAAAATCGCCGTTTTCAAACTGCGTTTTGATGGCCTTTGGGAAAATTTATATAAATCGACCAAAATCAAATATTTTGAGGTCTGTTTATCTTAAAGTAAAATAATTATTTTACTATAAAAAGAAAGTCCAATATTTTTTCTTCTTTTCCTGTGTCATGATGAGAAAGACAAAATTTCCCTATTTTTGTTAAGGGACAAGGGTCGATAAGAGGCAAAATCGGCCAAGAAATCGGCTCCCTCATAGATATATCTTATATTAACTGATCTGGTGTAGTTTTGTCTGCAATTAACCCCAGCATACTTTTAGATCTTAAAAATCCTTTTCAGTGCCCCGTAGAAAACTTTTCCTTCATTAAATGAACTTAGAGTATTTTCATTATTTTATCTCTTTCGCCTAGAGCAAGTATCAGCTATTAAATACCGTTCGAGAGAGAATTTCACGGGCTACGAAATGTTATATAAAATGTTCAGAAGAAAATGTGACTGGGTGATCTAATATCAAAAATACTCTGTAACATCTCAGCAAACCAGTAGGTTAGCATCGTTCATGTTTTATAATATCCATTTATTTTCTCGCTAACTACTTCACTTCACATATCGTTCGATAGAGAATTTCACGGGCTACAAAATGCTATATAAAATATTGAGAAGAAAAAGTAAATGAGTACTCTAACATCAAAAATACTTTTGAGCATCTTAGCAAACCGGTAAGTCAACAAGACAAAACCAGGTTGTGTATAAAAATTTTCCAATAAGATTCTATTGATTTTTTTTCAATGAGTGATGCCTGGAATCTCCTCTTCAAAATGGGAGTGAAACGAGACCTTGATTTTCCGCGGCTCGGACTCTGTTTCGGAACAAGTTTTACAAAAATTTGGATTTTCAGGTTGTTTTCACCTAATACTAAAAAGTTTATTATTCATTCAAAAAAGATCAGAACGGGTTCTCAAAGCTTCAGAATGTAGAGTATTTAGGCTTTTCTAATTTTTATTCTTAGATTGAAAAAAATAACACTACAAAATAAATAATAATAAGATATAAATTACAGTGTACATTTTTGTTGACTATCAGATTCATTCCTATTAAGTACAATAGAAAATCGTTCCTGTCGTCTTGTCATTCGTTTTAGATCATCTTCCAATGTTACTAAATTTGATTGTAATTGTTTCAATTTCACAATATCCTCTTGTTCTTCTTTAATTTTTATTTCATGATTAATTATATCGTTTTTTAGTTTAGTTATGTGTTTCGTTATTCTATCATATTCTTTTTTCACTAATTTTTGATCAGTTATTTTAACAATAATTTCAATATTATCGTTTACATACTCTTTTAAATATGAACGGTTGTCATCCAATGACGTATCAACTATTTTTAAATGATGTAAACGTGATACCATTCTTATTTCATTGAGATATGTTTGTAGTTCAGTAGAAAGTTGAGGTTGATTAGTAATACAAATATACGATTCACATTCACGTAATCTCAATATATCTCTCAGATATGAACATTGTTTTAAGATCATTCGAATAGTTTTAATTAATTCATTTAAATCAGGATTTGATACTTGTTCATTAATAAATATTGGATAAGGTTTATTGATAAGATACTGTTGTTTTCCATCGGTTAAAGCATTCCATAATTCTTCTGTTAATGATGGTATAAACGGATGATATAATAATAGATATTGTTTTAGTAAATAATACAACAAAATTTGAATATTTCGTTTAATTTCTCCATTTTTTACTACTCTCTTACTAAATTCAATATAGAAATCACAAAAATCTTTAATAAATGATTCTCTTAAATGAACGAGAGCAACATTAAATGAATATGATTGTAATGCCAAATTAACATTACGAATTGTGTCATTTAATTGTTGCAACATCCATCGATCAATAGTACGTAATGATGAGAATTGTTGAATTGATTCATAATTAATTTTATCATTAGTAAATTGTTTATAATCAATATCGGATAGAGCATGTTCAGTCACATATTTATAAGCATTCCATATTTTATTACAATATCGTCCAACATAATCAAATTGTAATGGATCAATTTTTATTGTTTGTTGTAATATATCTTGTGATAATAAACATAAACGTAAACCATCAGCACCAATTGGTTCAATTCCATTTGGATAATGTTGTTTTTGAATGTTTTTAGCACGTAATATTTCATCTTTAGATAAATGACTTTGATCAAGACGTTTTTGTAGTGATGATAAACTAATACCATCAATAACATCTATTGGATCAATTATATTTCCTATAGAAAACAACGAGTAAATGAAACATTTATAAAATGAAAAATTTTAAATTATTCATTGTTACCTAACGATTTACTCATCTTTTTTCCATTCGGATCACATATTAGACCATGAAATAATACCTCATTAAATGGTAACTGATCTGTTAATTTTAAACTAAGCATAACCATTCTGGCCACCCAAAAGAACATAATATCATAGCCTGTTTCTAAAAGTGATGTAGGATAAATATTTTGACGTTTGAAAAAAACAGAAATAGGTAGTAATCCTGATGAGAACCATGTATCTAAAACATCTTTATCTTGTTCAATAACTAAATTATCTTGATCAGGAAATAGATGTTTTGCTTTTGAAAGTGCTTCATTATATGTATGTGCATCAATCCATTCTCCATTACTACATTTATACATTGGAATTGAATGTCCCCAATACAATTGTCGTGATAAACACCATGGTTTAACATTATTTAACCATTGTTTCCATAATTTTCGTGTAAAATCTGGTGTTAATTTTAATTGATTATCGATAACATTTAATGCTTTTTCTCCTAATTGTTGCATATTTAAAAACCATTGTTCTTTAACTAATGGTTCAATAATATCACCTGTTCGACTACATATCGGTATTGTTGTTCGTTGTTGTTCACTTATACCACGTAATAATGACTTTTCATTTAATATATTTAAAACTAGATCACGTGCATCATATCGATGTAAACTATTTAATTGTTTATAATAATCGTGATTATTTGGTAAAGAAATATAACCACTATCATCAAGAATAGTTTTAATATCTAAATTATGTTTTTTAGCTAAATTATAATCGAATAAATCGTGACCAGGTGTTATTTTAACTACACCAGTACCAAAGCTAATATCAACAGTTTCATCAAGAATAATTTTTAATGGATAATTTTTATCAAAGGGATTTTCAACATATTTACCATTGTGTAAATGTTTATAACGATCATCATTTGGATTAATAGCAATAGCTGTGTCACCTAGTATGAAAAACAAGACGTTATTTTGTTTTCCAATGTGTTACAATTCTCCATAATGATAGATGTTGACAAAAAACTAATCGATGTCCTACAGTACTGGAAAAATTATAGAGCCACTGTATTTTTGAAATTTTTCGATGAAGCCGGCTGACTAGGTCAAATTTGAATAGTGATTTTGATAGCCCTTGAAGTTCTCTATCAAATGCAGTATGCGTTAAAATTCCAGAAAAAAGGTTTCAAAGAAAGTTTTCTAGAAAACTACCTCCAGCGGAGCTCTAATGAGGGAACCTCTTAAGGTTATAAATCGCTTTTGAATTCAGACTACTTTTATCTTGTAGATCTCAATGAGCAGTAAAATATCCTAAGTTGGTTTGTGCCCATGGTGCTTTGTTGCTGAGATACTGGAGTTTTAGTCAGTTTTTGCCTATAGAGCTTGGATTTCGAGCAAAATCCGACTTTCGAATTTTGATTTCAAACTTGCCACACTTGTAGCCCATGGTCATAGTAGTACGACGGGAAAATATTCGATGCTAATGAAGTTTCCTGCCGTGAGATATTGAGACTCGAATATTTGTCTCGATTTTTAGCATTTTTTTCGTAAATTATATTATTTCTTTTGATTTTTTTATGCCTGTAACTTTGCAACGAAAGATCGTGGAGAGCTGTGCGACAGTTCATTTTTTCAGAATTTTATGCTCTTTTAGATGGCTATATTGAAAATATTTTTAGCAAAATTCTCTAGAACTTAGAGCTCCGCTGGAGGGAGTTTTCTTCAAAACCTTTTTTCTGGAATTTTGAAGCATACTGCATTTGATAGAGAACTTCAGGGGCTATCTGAATTATCATTCAGATTTAACCTAGCCGCTCGGCTTCATCAAAAAATTTCAAAAATACAGTGGCTCTATAATTTTTTCCAGTATTGTATTTTCAAGTTTTCTCCTCTCCTACACATCCGCTTGAGTTCAGTTTTTCTGTGCAAAAGATTCATCATTCAATTCTTTACCAAAGTCTGTAAAAAATCTAATAAAAATAATTAAAGCTCAAAGATTACAAAAACTTTTTTTGCAGAATGCCAACACAGCAAACTTCTTAAAATTTATTCTGAAAAAAAGTTTGAATTTCTTTCACTTGTTTTACGATCATCAAAATGATTTTTTCTTTGGTTTCAACCACTAACGAAAATTTTTTTTATACGAATTTTAGTAAATAGATATAATAGAGCAATCATTTCTGTACAAAATGGAAAAAAACAAAAACGCACTCAAAACATAAGTTTTGGTCAACTTATATGTGTTTCACTGAAAGTAACAAAGTTCAGAATAAACAACGTTGATTTCTTTTGCAATGTAAGAAATGTGCCTTGTTGACGTTTTACAAAACTTCTTTTTTTTAATTTTATGAAACATTTCTCTTTTTTGCAGATTTTTTGTAGAAAATTGAATGGCAAATGTTTTGCAATCGTATTCTTACCTAATATTGTTTCTGGACGTGTTGTACTAACAATAATTTCTTCACTATTATCCTTATCTAATATTTTATAAGCAATATTGTATAATAAACCTAAATCAATTTGTTTTGAATAATCTGGTATAGAATATTTTGTTCGTCCAATAATTTCTTGATATTCTACTTCAATATCGCTAACAACTGATTTTAATTTTGAACACCAATTAACAATACGTTTATCACGATAAATTAATTGATTATTATATAATTTTAAAAATGTTTCTCGTACTTGTTCAATTAATTGTTGATCCATAGTAAAATATTTTTCATTCCAATCAAATATTAAACCAAGACGTTTTAATTGTTGTTCAATTATATCTCGATATTTATCTGACCAATAATAACATTGTTCCATAAATTTATCATATCCAATTTGTTCACGTGTTAATTTATATTCTTGTTGAATATGTTTTTCAACAATAACTTGTGTAGCAATGCCGGCATGATCATAACCGGGTATACATTGAACATGATAACCATTCATCGCTTTCCAACGTAGTAGACAATCATGAATAGATGCTGTTAATGCATGTCCTAAATGTAATGTACCAGTAACATTTGGTGGTGGAAATAACATGACAAACGATGGTTTATTTTCATTTATTGTAGATAAATAGGAATTTGTTGTCGAATTTTGAAATATTTTGTTCCATTTTGTTTCGATTTCAAATGGATTATGAGTTTTTGATAGTAAACCACGATGTAAAATAAGACGATAAAAAGAGTGATTCTTGTTTATTATTGAAAAAAAATTCACATGAATCATGAAAATATCTACAATACACTCAATTTCATTTTTGTTTTAAGAGAATATTAAGATTAAACAAACATTAATATTTAATTTTGGCATTTCTCATTATCATCTTTTTTTAAATTTTTTTGTTTTTTGAATATTTGATAAAAGAAAATTTTCTTTTGTATGCCAAATGCAATAGTCTAAAGTTATCAATGACATATCATGGTACTGATCGGTAAACTATTTTAAAATCTTTTTTCTTTTGTTAAATTTCAAAAAAGCGATAGAAACGGTTATCCATCTCTATATTAGAGGTGAATTGCTAAAAGATTATCATAATCAGTTTTTTCCCACATCTCTTGTGTCCATAGAATTTGTCATTCACGCATATTTTCTAATATCGACATAATCCGTGATCGATTTTGTCTTTATTAACAACTTCAAATGTCGTATAAATTCTTTTTTTTTTCATCTAAATAACATGACATGTCTACCAAAAAAGCAAAAAACAAAACAAAACAATAAGAATATTAGAATAAGAATAACAACCCAAATTAACACGAAATAAATTTGATCTAATGAAATGAAGGATGTGTAAGGTACAAAAATTTTTAAGAAAAGGAAAAATAAAAAATACTGTTCCTAATTTTAGGTATGTGTTTCAAAGAAAATAAAGTTAACAAATAAACAAGAACAAAACAAAGGGAAAGCACAGCGGCTCACTGGATGGATTAAATATAAATTAGATGAGGTAACTACCAGCATCAGAACCGTGGCGATGCCATCATTAATGGTTGTGATTGGAAGAAAAAAAAATTGTTACAAACCACACACTAAAAATCATAGAAATGAATAAGACACACTGTTTTTAAAGATTTATTCAATGATGAATTTTAATAATAATAATTGAAAGACATAAACAGACTAAAAATAAGATATATTTCAATGTTGTGTTTGTTGCTGAACGATGAAGATGTTTTCGAATAATAACTAAAATATTCATAAAAGACGACGATGCTACACTGTTGGGAATTAAATCTTTTGAATTTGTAGTAGATACTTCATTTAATACATTTTCCTTTTTATTATTTATATTCATTTTTCGTTTTTGACATTTATTTGTTGATAATAATGATGATGACACTGAATTATCGACAGTTTTTTCACTAAAATGACAATAACAAGAGAAAAATTGACTAATATAGTATCCTTTCTTCACTGGTTTGCCAGTTTAAAACAGAATATAAAAGATAAGTCTCTCAAATTAAAATAACATACAGACGGCATGGGTTGATGATTATGCTGTTTATCGTACACGTCAAAAGTGCTGTGTTAGCGCTAGTAAGTTTTCGATTACGCTGACGAGCGAACGTCCCGAGATGATACTCTCCGTTTCTAATGAGTTATACCTCAATCGATAGAGTATATCGAGCTAGTAAAAACTCTAAAAGGATTTTTCCCCATAACTCTTGAAGATCCTGTTTTCTGGAAAACTCGTTTTGCAGAAACTCTAAAAAAGTAACCCAAACCTTTCTTAATGAGGCAATGATTGTAGCCCGCGAATTTCTGATTAAAATGAGACATCTTCCAGCTCTACGCGACCTTTCCTTGCAAAATTATAGAATTTACAAGAAAAGCCCTGAGTGTTCATTATCAGCTCAAAGCTATAGAAATAAGAAGAAACTAATTTAGGACTTTTCTTGTAAATTCTATAACTTTGCGAAGAAAGGTCGTGTAAAGCTGGGGGATGTCTCATTTTAATCAGAAATGTGCGGACCGCAATCATTGCCTCATTAAGAAAGGTTTGGGTTACTTTTTTAGAGTTTCTGCAAAACGAGTTTTCCAGAAAACAGGGTCTTCAAGAGTTATGGGGAAAAATCCTTTTAGAGTTTTTACTAGCTCAATATACTCTATCGATTGAGGTATAGCTGATTAGAAACGGAGGGCATCATCTCAGGACGTTCCCTTGTGAGGTAAATTACTTCTGTTCATGTACCTCGAATCATCTGTACGATACCATAGTCATAGCATTATGGTGAGATACAATACATTCTACGCCGGTAACAGTATTCGAATATTCGTAATCTTAACTTCTATACTGAGCTGTTTTTTCTGATTCATTAACATAAATCCACTCGGCGAATGAACATTATAATATCAATTATCAAAAAACAGGTAATACTCACGTAAAATGGTTAGCATTTATTTCATCTGGGACAGTAGCATCGTACGACATAGTTTCTATTAATTTCAATTTTGGTATTAATTCATCATGTTGAAGAAAACCATTCTTTTTTTCTTCATTTTTATCACTATTGACTTCTTGAAATATTGTAGACATATCTTTTTTGGCAGTGTCTGTAATTGGTATCTCGACGATTTTTTCTTCAGAAATATTACCTTGATCCTCATTATGAATTTTTTCTTTTATTATAGTCGATTTTTTTTGCTGTTTGGATTTATTGTATTTTTGTTCTATATTATTATTCACTAAAACAGAGTTATTTTTTTCAATATGATTATTCATTAATTCTTCTAAAATTGGTTGATTATTTTCAACGTTTTCGATCAATGGTATAAGATCATCATCATCGTTCCTTCTCCCATTTACGATGATCACTTCAGTAGCCTTGTTGACCTTATGTAAATCCTTCATGTTATTTTTATTAATAGTTTCATCTTTATTGTTATTCACTGACGGCATGTTGTCATTTTTCACCGTAGATGTATTATTATACAAATTGATTTCTATATTGTCCACAATATCAGAAACATTGAAGATAATACCGTTATCAGAATTATGTGTTATTAATTCATTTTGAGATGGATTTTTAATAATATTTGTCTGAAATTCACATGGTATATCATCAACGACAATTGTCCAACGATTTTTACGTAATACTTCATTATTTTGTTCATTTTTTTTGAACGTTCGCGATTTTGTTACTGTAATAAGATCATTTTGTTTTTTGATTCCATTTTGCTCGTTTATCGATAAATTCATTATATCGTTCTCGTCAATACAAATTAAATAATCATCATCGATGGATTCTATTAGTGATGAGGACGATGAATGAGAAGATGTAGAATAACCTATAAAGAGAGAGAAAAGAAAAGGAAACCTCTAATTTGTTTTAATACGTAATGCTGCTAATAAAGATGATATTTTCTTCTTATGTAACAATATTGTTACAGATTTCTCTTTTCTCATTTTTCTATCATTGACAAGTAGATTGGCATTACTAATAGACACATATATCTGCAGCAGACTCTTTACATATTTTAAATAATGTTAGATTCACGCAAGTGTGTGTACAATCAATTGATCATTGATTATAAGAAGGAAACACTTTCGGATATTGGCGTTGTGTATCTAATTTAATGTAAAAATGAAAGAAAAACCTCGACCTCGTCACATATAATTCTCTAGTGATTCATCGACGTTTTATGTATGTATATGTATGTTTGTGTCAAGGATATAAATCACAGAATTCAACTTTTTGTAGCTCACAGATCAATTGATTAAGATAAAAGATAAAAAAATTATTGATTAAAATAATATTTCATTATTAAATAAGAAAAAACTGAGAACACTATCATAGAATGATTTATTTGATGTAAAAACTGATGATTTTTGAAATAGTAGTACTACTAACTTATTTATGTCCGATAATTTCTTTATATTGAAAATATTTAAGAAATAATAACCATATGGATTGAAGGTAGAGGACATTTCTATGTTTATCAACTAAACCTGAATATAATTAAGAAAATATTGATTTACTTACCATTTATATCATCCATAATTGTTTCCAGAATAATTTTTGAATAAGGATTATTATTTAATGTTAATTTATTACATTTGTTTTGTTTAAATAAATGAACTATACATCGTTGTAATTCACAAAAATATGAAAAAAAAAGTTTTTCTGTATGAAAATTTTCATCTATTAAAAATTGATAATTATCAATTTGAATATCAAAACATAAATTTATTAATTTAAAACAATTTTCTAATCGATAATTATTATCATTAATTTGTTGAATTAATTTTAAACATTGATGTCCACATGTTAATGATTGATATTTAAGACTTAATGGACAAATAAATTTACATAATAAACTTAAATAATATCCATCAAACCATGTATTTTTAAGAAAATCTTTAACATATATATATGTTGATGTTAATAATATTTTATTTAAAATATCATTTAACCATTTTAATAATTGACTTCTATCTTGACCATAGAATAATGTTTTTTCATTAAAATAATTTTTATTTTTATTTAAACGAAAACCATTAAAATTAAATGTTTTCATAATTAACCATAATAAAGCAAGTATTTGTTTCATATTACCACCAACAACATCTTTTGGACAAATATTTAAATGTGTAAGATTTTTATCTGATTTTAAATAATTTAATACAATTTGTACATTACGCATTGAATGAAAATATGTACGACCTTTTTCACGTGGTAATTTATTTGATGATAATATTTCAATTAAATCAATTAATATTTGTCCATTTGATAAATCTTTAGAAATATCATGAATTTTATGACCACGTTTTGATATATGATAATTAACAAATTTTAAAAATGAATTTATTTGAATATTATCCATACGTGATCTTAATATATCAATTCGACATTGTTCATAATAATCATCAACATTATTTGTCTTTAACGATGATGAACGAACAATAAGTGCCGCCGGTGTATTTTTTGTTCTTGTAGTTGTTAAAGTAGAAGTAGATGAAGAACATAATGTCTTGAATCTCTTTTCTGTGAAGTAACAATATTTTTTTTCTCCCTTTATTGATGATGATGATAAATGTATGATAGGAGAAGGACTTGAACATTTTTTATCATATGAATCATACGATATTGATGATAAGAAATAATTGTTGTTACAATCGTATGATTCTGAATCACAACTAACATCATACATCATATTAAGTTGTTGGCTATTAATTAGTTTCATCTTCTTCTTTTTCACTTATACCGTCATCATCAATTCATTAATAGAAGAGAAATGAGGAGTGATGATGGAAGGGGGCTAAAAATGTATGCAACAAAGAAAAAAAAGAGCTTTGATTTGTTCGTTAATATTTATTGATTTGATAACATTTTAGAAAGAAATCTTATTCTAATTCATGACGTAGAATTGAAAATGAAAGAACAACAAAACATCAACACATTTAAAAGGATTAAGTATCAGAAATGAGCGGTGGTTGCTTGTTTTTTCAGTTTCCGTCAATTTTGAAATCGCCTCTAGTCCAGTTTCATCTGCCCAAAAAAATTTTCCGCTTTGCGTAATAGTTTTTTTTCCGTCTTTCCGATATGTAATGACTGATTGTAAGAGAGGTTATTGATTACACAGAGTATCACTGACTTTCTTGAAGAAAAAAAAAAATGAGAATTTATAGATATTACCGATATTTTTGATAAAGTAGCTGTCTATTTTCTCCGTGGTACTACTTATTAAAGGAAAAATCGAGAAGAAAAGTTAAAAAAAAAGAAGAGGAGCGATATTTGATACCGTTCAGTTGTCGACAAATAAAAACATGTTGCTTGTCGTCTAGGTAGAACAACAAGAAATTAGATTTTTATAGCTATCAAAATAGCGCATGGTGAAAGCTCCATCTGAATACTGAACATGTTTTGAAATTTTGACAATTTTAAACCTCAACAGCTGTCTACTAGAGGTGGCCGTTGGACAAGGATCCTCGCGAGGAAGATTTTTCGAAAGCTTGACGGGGCACGAGACGATGACGAAGCAGGAACTTCATGGCGCGAATCCCGCGAAGGACATTTTTTCTTGTGAGCAAAAGATGCTATGCTTATTTTGATCTATTTTTATAATAAAAGTGATGGTTCATCTTGTGAACCAAGATGAAACAATGAATAGCTTGTGTTAGCAGAGACTTTCTGGACTCAGGAGGATCGATGAGGAAGTTTCAGAAGAAAATTTTATAAAAAGTTGACGATGGACGAGGTGATGACGAAGCTGAAAGCTTACGGGGCGATTTGCGCGAAGTACATTTATCGAAACTGGGCGAGATACGGGACGATCCCCGCGAGATAGTTAAAAATAGTCCATCGCCTACTTCTACTGTCTACGGGTTCAACCGAACCCACCTTAAAATTCTATACTTAGTACAATGTCTATATTGATCTTTTTTAATCATACGTCTGTTTTTCTTGTGCAAGGGACTTTCGATCTATGCGTGATAAGCCAAGGAAAAACAAAAAGTTGGTACTTAGTTATTGTCGAGGGGTTACACTATCGAGGGTGGACAGTTGTCAAGGGTTAAAAGAGAAGTTTGCTCTGTGGGAACTGCGAACCCTATTCAGTCTCCATTTATCCTCTCGCCTTCCCCGTGTATCTCTATTAAATATAGTTTTCTATTAAAGTCTATCCTTCTCAACAAAATGTAGAAAATATTTGTCTGAATTGTTCTTTTTACAAAAAAATAATCGATTGTCTACTGAATAAATTTTACCTTATGCAAAAACAAATGCACAAAACACTCGATGAAGAAATAAACATGCTAAATAGAAAATTAAAAAAAATCTGTGACCAAAGAAGAAAGCAGTTTTCTTTAACGATATGATACGAAACTATTATCTCTTTTGTGTCACTAAAAATTATCGTTTTTACGTCTAGAACATAGAAACACGACTACATAAAATGGTTCGCACGCACAACTAGTGTAAAAAATATTTAATGAAAAATTAAAAAAGAATCTGAAAGACCGTGTCTAGAACATGTATGTGTGGCATCTTATCAATAGTTGATATGTTTCAAGTCATAATACCTTTCTTTTGTAAAATTCAATTAAAAAAAACTAGACACCACATCAAACATGAGTCCGCTTACTTGAAGATTTTTTGTTGTTCTTTACTCTTCTATGAACAAGATCGATTACGGGACATACATATAGAGTAAATGGAAAAATACATACTTTTATTCAATGTAACCATTTGAATGCTAATTGACTTTTATTAAAGAAAGAAGAAGAAAAGAAAATACGATGAAAAATAAACTCAGATTCATTTTTTTTTTTTTTTGTTTGAAAATCTATCTACATATTTCTTTTAATATAGAAGGATGGGAGATATTGTGCGTGTATATGTATGTGCGTGCAAACGTTTTAGATCGGGTCCATTTTTTGCCTCATCTCTATGTATATTAATAAAAAAAAAATTAAAAAAACTAAAAAATTTGTTCTACATACTATATAAAGTTTTCTCTAGTTTTTTAATCAATACATATAATAATTCTTTCTATCTTTTTTTTGCTTCTCTATTGTATGGAATTACTATTACTCATAGAGACTCATCCAACACGTAATGAACATACGAAGAACGACATCATAATTAGCATATGTTCCAAATTGTACGCACGTGATTAGAGTGATTTGTACTTGTATATCTTGTCAAGGATGATTACATTGTCAATATTTGATTAGTTTTCTCTCTCTTTGTGCAACAACTTGGATAATTGTCCATAGATTTAATACCACAAACTAAACATACAGATAGAAGAAAAAAAAAAGTCTTGTTGTTCATACCTTAATAATTAGAGCTCCTGACACGTTTTCTTTTCTTCTTCTTCTTCTTTTCGTCAAGACGTGATGCATTCAAGTTGAAACGTTTGTTATTATAAAAAACAAAATGTGTACAGAATTTACAAATTAACACGCGTATGGCTTTTGAACAAAAATAGACAACATTTATGAAAGATTTAGTAATACTTGTACAGGTATGAGCATGAAATTAGTGTCTATCTTCTACAACAAACGTATGATTTGTTCATTCATAGTACTCTGTAAAGGTAAATGACGTCTCTTTTAGTTCTAGGAAACTTCTTTTATAATGAAAAGTCACTCCTGCTTCTTGTTACCATTTACACTTACACACAAAAAAACTACATGTGTAGAAATATTCTAAACGTTCAGTTGATCTTAGCGAATATTCCAGGTAAGTAGCTTTTTTCCCATTGCAAGAACGGTAGCTAAAATCAATACATAATATAGTGCAAAATTAATAACATATATTGTGTATATATCTGTGACTTCTCACAACTTTCTTTTGCCTTGTGGAAATTTGCGGTATGTGTGTGTGTATATTACATAATATTATTAAACAGTTGTGAACACATACACTTGCTCATTTGATTTTATGTAACTTAACTAGAAGATATGTATGCTATTTCAACTATCATGCAAAAAAAAAAAAAATTAACGCATTCTCGATATCTTACAAGCAAAACATACAATATGTTAGTTCTACTACTACTCTTCATATATTGATAAAAGAATCGTTAAATGAAAAATTTGTAATTTTATGGTTTCATTCAGTTATGTGGACGAGAAATAAAATTTGCTACCACTATAACAATTGTCTGCACAAAACAATATCACCGTTTATGTATTGACTATTTGATTTTAGCAATTTCTATATAGTCAAGTAAATTCCTTGGGGGGGAGTATCATATACAACATGACTTTTTTTTTATTCAATTTTTAGCTCAGTTTATTTGAACAACAGCTTTGACCCTGAAAATAAGAGAAGAAAAAAACTGAAGTTTTTTTTTGTCAATGAACACATCTACTGATTGTATACAACTGTCACTTCTTAAAGTAGAATCCATCAGTAATTTGGCACAACATAGTCGAGGACAAATAAAAGAGCCAACAGGTGGTTATTGAACAAGTTATTTTAAAATATATTCGAAGATTCGTAATCGAATATTTTTAGAGAATTCATAAAAAGATTAAGAGTGGACCATGAGAGACAGTTGCATAAAGGTAACTAAAGTGAGAGTTAAAAGTTTTAGCCACTTTGTATTCTTAATTTTTTCCTTGATCACGATGGCTAGAAGATATAATTTGAATAGCTGGAAGAGTGTTCAATTAGAAACAGTATGTATACAAATTTCATTGAAATTACTGAAAACCAGTTGCCTACTAAACGAAATTCTTGGATCTGTTCGACGTCTTGTAAACCAATAGAACAAACACATTCCTAGATAAAAAAAAAGAAAATATTTCCAAGCTCTCCAAGATATTTTTTCGTCAAACCGCAGCCAATTTGCGAAATATCTTTGTCGGTTATACCAGTCACATCGACAGAAAAAGAGCAAAGAATTTTAGAGATTTTGATAATACCCCGAAACGTTCAAATATATCTGATTATCGTACGAAATAAAAAGTGTCAAAAAAAGTCTATTATGAAAAATTTATTTGAACAGGATACTTACAACAAACAACATTCTCTCTGAGAAAAAAACACAGCAAAATAAACACTACATATTTAATATTCCGAATTATGAAACGTCGGTGGTGCCGGTAAATGAGGTAATCTGCCCGCAGGAGGAATAGATGGTGGTGGCGGAGGCCCGATTGGTCCATACCGTGGGGCTGCCGATGATGACAATGAATCACTGGAATATTTTGATTCTAATTTGAATGCAAACTGGAGAAAAAACTAAGATAAAAATTCAGAATTTAATAGAATATTAGTGATTAAATGACAGCAACTATCCTACCTGTTTAGTTTCCAAATTGAAATGGGTCCAAAATCTTCCTTCTGATTTATCAACTTCACGACTAGGAATCTAGAGAGGAAATATATACATTGAAAACGCACACATTTACTGACAAACAATATTCTTTACTTTAAATGAGATTGTTTCATAGGGTTCAGCAGCAAACAATAAATATTGCCAACGACGATCGGGTGGTTCAATTTTTTGTTCAAAACCAGACATAAAACGATGTTTAGGAACAACATTATCTGATATTTCTGGGTAATCAATTTGAAATAAAAGACTTTGTTGTTTTGTATCTGAAAATAAATAATAGAATGAATTTTAACTGGAGATATATGTGAAACTATACATACCTGGATCACGTTGTTTTGTAACTAGAAAAAAGAGAAACGTGTGATTAATTGTATTTTGATCTCTCAAACATTCTTATAGAAAGCTTCTTAATATACCTTTATAGCCAGGTCGACCAATTTTAATAAATTTTCGAACTTCGATTTGTGGTCTAGCAGGTTGTGTTTGACCTGGTAATTCTTTTGCATCTCGTGCCGCACGTCGTGCTCTACATAAAATCAAAAACATAACATTGTAACAAATAGTCCACTATAGATATGAATAGAAATAACATACAGATTAGCTTGATGTTTCTTTCCTTGTGTGTGAGCCAAATAGCTGCCTTCATTATTATGCAATGTAAGACACAATTTACATTCATAACTACCAAGATGATTTCTCATAAAATATGGATCCTTAATTAAAAAGAGAAAGAGACAATATGAATATAAATCAATGAAATGAAACACGTGCATCTAAATTGAGATTTAATCGAAGCATTGCAGCATTAAAACCTACTTATTCATTTATTTTCAGTAAGAAAAAAGCGACTACTTACTTTTGCCAAATTGATTGTTTCCAAAGCTAACTGACGTAAACGCTCACGTCTATCACGATTGGATTCTGATGCCGAAGCAACTCCACCAACTCCCGTTTTACCACCTGCACGATGTTGAAAATCCATATTGATAGTTTAACAAAAGTAAACAGTGCCTCTTCTAGTTTTTATCTAAATAAAACTCAAGCTGTGAGTAATTTATACGATCATCCATAAAAACTGTACATTTATTTTCAAAAACGAGATTCATATTGGTCAGTCATGATGAGCAACAAAATTTTTGTAAAATGTTTCTAAGTTCGGCGCGTAACAAATTGATTCAGAAAATCTTAATTCGTCATTTGTCCTACGCAACTTTATACTCTATCTTACTGTACGGTAAGTATTTTAATATGGAGGTAACAAAAGCATTGAAACAACGGTATAGTCTGATCTACTCTCGTTTTTTTTCGATCAAAATCGAAAATATCGGCTTTGCTCCAGAGCTGCCAGATGGTCCATATTTTGCGGACAAATTCCGCTTTCTGTAGTCTTTTCCACAAAGTGTCCACTGTCCGTAATTTGTCCGATTTTTGAGAATTCTTTGTTTTTGTCCTTTTTCCTGCAATGAACATTTTTACATTTTTTCATAAAAAACTTATGACTGAATGACTTGTCAAAATAAAGCTTTTGCAACTTTTATAAAACAGATGCACATTTTTTTGAGAACGAAATTAGAAATTTGTCTCAGAAGTGAGCGGTAACAGAAAAACATTAGTTCGTCTCAAGTGTGGTGAAAGGAAATGTGAAAAATAGTGAAATAGTACTGTCGTAGGTGGGAAAGTTTCGAACTAAATTTCTGCCATACATAATTCTTGAAATTTATGACGGCTGAAGCACATCCACAAAAAGCCAATATCGATTCAAGTTTGGATTTAAATGATGTTTTGTACTTCTTTTGTGTTTCTTAAGTGGAACCACCATAAAGCGCTAGAAAATGTTTTTTCATACCCTTTGTATTTAGTGAGAAATGAACTAATACGATAAAAAATGCGTTTCCTCTTTTTTGGTTTTTTATTTCCCTTTTCTGACCTAAGCATCTGGCAACTCTGCTTGCTCCCATTTTTTTTTGAAATTTTTGCTCTTTAGAATTAAATAGATCTTCGAGTTTATAAAGAATTTTATCGTAACATAATGTCGATCAAGAAATAATCTACTCGTTGAGTAACCAGCTATTCGTGCAGCACCCGATTCATATGTCCTACTATACTGCTCTACCATGCTGGAACAGCACTTGATTTATAAATAAACAAATCGTTCAATCAACCATTCACCAACTTTCTTAGCTCGTCCGGATTCATTGGCTGGACGCTTTAGTGCATTATCGCGTTATACCTCAGTATTCCTCCTCAGAAAAGTGAAGAAAGTTTTGTTTTTTGGACATGGCTGTTTGTAGTAAAGTCAGGACACTTAGAAAAATTGTCCTTTTGTTTGTTTCTTCATTTCCTATTGTTGTTTTTTTGTTGTTTTCTTATTTCAAGGCAAAAAGAAATCAGATTATTTGCCTTGATTAGTAATTGTTTCAGTCTCGGTTATATAAAAAACAAGTAACGCTCATCATTCTGACTCGCTTGGCCCTTGACCCTAATGTTCTGTTTTATATGAGAGCATGTGGAATCTTCTAAAAAGTGTATGCACAAAGAAAAATAGCGTCCTTTCCATAGTTTCACATGAAGGTATCGAAAAAACACGTCGTTTTCCTTGATAATGATTTATTGCATCACGTGACCCAGTCTGTTGCTTTCATGACAAAGTAAAGAGAAAACAAATTTAGAGCGAAGAATGTTCTCGCATAGAAGTCTCCAATGTCTGCTATACATCGATCTAACGAAGAAACCCTCTGAGGTGTCCAACTCAGTTTTCTTTCGCTCATATGCCAATCGATAGTATATATCGAGATAGTAAAAAGCCTAAAAGGGTTCGTGCCCATGGTTCTTGAAGACCCGGGTTTCTGGAAAACCAGTTTTTCAGGAACTCTGAAAAATAACCAAAACCATTTCTTAATAAGGCATGATTGTAGCACGCAAATTTCTGATTAAAATGAGACATTTTCTAGGTCTACACAACCTTTCCTTGCAAAGTATAGAATTTACAAGAAAAGCCCTGGATGTTCATTGTCAGCTCAAAGCTATAAAAATAAGAAATTAATTAGGGCCTTCTTTAACATGAACATAAAGTATATAGTACGTTGTTTTCCTTAATTTGAATAAAACACCGTTCATCCATAATAGTAGTTCGTATCTTAAAAGTACTCTCTCTGTTCTCTACGTTGACGACCTATTAGAGTACACATTCTTCTCAAATAAGCTGATTCTATCAGTTTTTTGTCGAAATCTGTTCTTTAAGATATTTTTCCGTAAGACAGCCATGGTCGCGAATAACGGGAGGGTGCGCCCCCTAATGTTCTGCTCCTATTTGCGGTCCTAAAGGTAGCGTGCCCTATTGAACTCATTATTAAACATATTTTCTGTCACTCAACTGCTGTGTACTTGACATATTTAATCGTTACAGCTTTGTGTTTGTTGTTTTCTCAGTTACTACTTTAATATGTACTCTTAAACGGCTTTCTACTGTTGCCTCTTCTAATTGGTTACTCTACAGACTACTTTTCAGCCATTTTTCCATGTTTTGCGGACAGACGGACACAGAATTAATTTTCTAGACCTACGGAGGGGCTTTTTTAGCCAGAGGAATTTAGGGTATGAAATATTTACTAAAACCTCATGTTTTCGTGATATTTCGAGTTATCGAAAAGACTTTTATAGACTGCATAATGTGTGCGCAATGTCGTATGTTTTTAACTGCTGAATGGAATCGTTAAAGCAACTCATAATATAGTTTTTGAGTTAAAAATGTACAGCGTTCGGTATTCTAATAGTTTGTGAGAGCAAAATAGTTCATTACTTCAAACATTCGACATGTACTCTGTTTTCTATGCTGAAGAATAACTGCTTTTCGAGAAATTTCATTTGAGATGGCTTTTTTTTTGTGAATCAGAGAAAAAGAACAATGTGTGATTTTCGGAAGTTATCTTTACATTTGATGATTGATAGCAGATTTTCAGAAATGTTTCTATTATTCAAGAAACGTAATCAAATGTCATAGTCCGATTCTAAATAGACAGTCGACGAAGTTTAAGCGATTTTAAAACAGACATAGGTAGACTACAATAAGTTTTTGACTATTGTTTGTGCTCTTTACTTTCTACTTTTGACTGAAGACAGCAAATTTTGCGACCAATTTTAATAACAAAAAAAAAATTATCATAATTTAAGTGTCCAGGTGAAAGAAGAAAAAAGAAGAGGTCACTTATTTCAAACTTGAAAAGACTCACAGTAAAGAGTCCATATTGAATAATAGAAATTCCGACAACATTACTGAAAGTTCGGACACCTCATTTTCAAGTGAAAAGTTTATTCTATCAGAATCATTTCTGAGCTTGTAGCTTGGAATAGAGACATCTTATATCACACTTTAAATCTCTTGAGTCTTTAGTTATAGAGAAACAAAAAGTCGATTAAGATTTTGTGTGTTAGTTTAGTACAATTTCCAAAATTTTTCAGAGATGTCATACTAAATTATTCATCTTTGATACATTGATTATCATGTCATTGTAGTTTAACTTAAAATTCTACCTTCATTTCTAACCGTTATCTAATTTAAAATAGATAATTTTGCTCTTTTTCGAAAAGGATTCTCTTGTAAGGATCTGTGCTATTATCTCTGAGCAGTTTTAACACATAGCTGCTATAACTATCTGTGATCAACGATTTTTGTATATTGGTTCTATCTTGTTTTGTTGCATTTTGTTCTATCTTGTATTATTTTTCTAGAGAAAAACACATCAAACCAGATTATTAAATGACCATGTCTGCTATTACAGGAAAAATTGTTTTAAGAAATGCCACTAAAGTTTCACTTGATCGCAGGTATAAGCTTAAAAAAATCGTTCTTGTTCATTTAATCTATGTTGATTATTCTTTTAGATTTGGTGATATTGCAAAACAAACACCACGTTATCAAGCAAATTTTCAACCACATGTAACAATTCCGAACATTCGAGATGAAATATTTCAACAAAAACGTGCTAGTGCAAATGAAAGACGACAAGATATAATGATGAGAAATCGACCTGCCGCATTAGACATTGCTAATCGTTTGAAAAAAGTATTGAATTGTTTATTTATTTGTTCAAGAGAATAATTAATGAGATATTAATAATGAGATTTTTTTTTTACTGTTTAGAGAAGTATTAGTTATCGCCTTGGTAGAGGTTTTGGAAATTATAATCGCGGTGGAATGGGACGTTTTAATTTAAATCAGCGACTTAGTGGAACGCCAAGAATAATTCATCGAATTGGTTTCGGAAGAGGACGGCGTATTGGTGGCAGTTTATTTTCACCAAGAGGTGCAAATCGAAGTCCACGTGGTGGTGGACTGATGCGTGGTCGTGAACGAATTGGTGGTAAGAAAACGAGCAGTGTAGATTAATTGAATTTTCTATATTTATTAGTAATTTATTTAGTACGTAATTTTCGTGGACGATTTAATCGTGGTTTCAATAATCGCTTTAATAATAATAATTTGCAATCAAATCAGAATTCAGAGCGAAATAGTTTTCAAAGTGGAAGAGGTCGTGGTACCTCGCTAAGGTATGGATTTATTTCAAAAATAATTTAATCGATTGATTCAATACCTTGTGCAGACTACGTCTCAACTCTTGGCCATCTTTGATTCATGTAAGAACAACGATCCATTGAAGAGAGAAAACTTATCAAGATAGTTTTGTGACACCACAGGGGATTTTCTCGAGCCTTTGACCAACACTTTACTCATATTTACCTTCGCTGATGAGATTTGTCTTACCATCTTGAGTTTTGTTTAACAGCAGCAACATCGACTATTGTTTTTTTTTATTTTGTAGACAGCTTTAATAACCTCTTGAATGCCGTTATTTTTTGCCGTTATGCGCGTCCAAAGGCTGCATATGTAAAAAAATCGATTAGATATCTCTCTTTGTGTTCTATTGTTTTCGTGACATGTGTTCCTCTGACACTTTTATTTTCGTTAAATCGATAGAATGAAAAAGCATATGTAACATATAAAATTTCCTTCGTGTCATCTATAGATGCCTTAAGGCATTCATGAGATTAATAAAAGAAAACTTCAAAGATTGATGTGTATATATTACCTTTGTCTACTTTGTACAACTTTATCAAAAACAGTAAACATTGGATCATTTCTTAGAATATTCTCATGTCTGTAGACTTCTAGCTAAGATTATGTTCGATTTTGATGTTTAGTTTAACCTAAATGTCGTAGATTTTTGTCATTTTTTAAAATATTAATTTTATTCTTATTAATAATATTTAGAGGATCTCGCGGTAATCGTGGCAGTGGAAATAATATACGTGGTAATTCAAATCGTGGTGTTGGAAATTTTCGTGGTCGTGGTCGTGGTAGAGGAGGAGCCAGAAATAGTGGAAATAATAAAAATCAATCGAAAAATAATAACAATAACAGCAACGATAATAATACATCCATTACTAAAGAAAAATTAGATTCCGATCTTGATTTTTATATGTCTCAAACAAAAATTGATGATGGTTTCGATATTACATATGCAAACGGTTCAAATTAAATATAATTATGTACATTATGTTATTATGTGTATTTTTTAAACAAGACAATATCTTTCTCTGTCTTTATCTTTGTCTCGTGTTTATTCTGTTTTCTCCACAAAAGACAACTTAATATCCAAATAACTGAACTTTTGATTTTTACTGCTTTTCTATTGAACGTAGTTACACATATACAATGGTTATTTATTTATTTATCATGATCTATACGCTCCATAAATGAGACCGTATATAAAGAAATTCTTTTGTTAAAAAAGTTGGCTCAAAGATAAAACCATGGTCACAATTAATGATAATTGATCATCGTTTCTTGTGTTTTTCGTTCATTTTTTTTGGTTGTTTTCGTTCATCTTTTTTCGCTGGTTTATAATGAACAAACATTCAAATACGTATACCCACAACTATTCATTCATTATACCGTATATATATAATATGTATGTATACATACACATTCCCATATATATATGTGTTAAACAGAAAAAAATGATAATAAGTTATATTATTACAAATGTTGGTTTGTTGATTACACCGTTCTCAAAAAAAATATGTTATTGTTATTAATATAGGTGCCTATACAAAACGGAAAAAAGTGTTTTTCAGAAAACACAATTACACATGTTGTTTTGTTTTATAATATTAATAAAAAAAAATATATATGTATTTGACGAAATATATCACTGTCCAACAAAACATACAAACAACGGATATAGTGAACGAATAATGGTTTTTTCTCAAAGATATACTAATTAATTAAGAAATATTAATGAAGATTCAAGATAAAGGAAATAGATTTACAAAAGATTTATATGATATTTAGTTACCATCCTTTTCTTGAAATCATATTACGAGAAACAAGTTGTTCGGGGTAAGATTATTTTTACATTTAACTTTGAAAAACACTTTTTCCATATTACATGAATTATCTTTATAGAATTTTGATGTAGAGACTTCTGTTTTTTTAATAATAGTTCTTTCATAGTTTTTATATAGTTTTCTTTCATAATAGTTTTTTAATAATAGTTCCTTTTTTCGGCTCACTTGGCCCACACTTGTTTATAGTGTAATCGATAGCCCATAAAAAGCTCTGCAAGAATATGTATAAATGATTGATTTAAAAGTTTGCACTCACAGGGAAATTTCTCGAAAAACTCAGTATTCTGCCCGTAATTCTCAATTTTCTCCATCAAAACTCAACTTTCATGCAATAAAAAATATCATATTCGAAATCAGCGTCAAAAAGTGAGTTGAATGATATATATCTTTCGAAATTTTTCGATGATTTTCAGTTTGTGGTGAAAATCTCAGTCATTTATCGACTTGAAACTTCGAAAAAAAATTAGAGGTAGTTCGATAGGATAGAAATGTTCAATATTCAATTCAGTTTTTGACACTAATTCCAAATATGGTATTTGTCATTAGAACATCGTTTTCCTGAATAAGATTTGAATAACAATCGATGAGAAGATTATGTAAATTAAAAAGCCACTTTTACTTTCTAATCAAACTCTTACATATATTCTTGATCAGCTTGACGAGCACCATCAGATCGTGTAGAACAAAAACCTTGTACGCTTTTCGTTCGCTTTTTCCACTGAAAAGAAGACATTAACTGCAAATTTAACATAAAAAAGTTGATAATTTTTTTCGCATGAATTTATGTAACGTTTAAAAAATATGTAGATCGGCACAAAATTGAATTCTCTATCGATCTGTGGTACAAGAAAAACAAAATTGAAGAAGAGTCAAGTTTCCTAAGATTTTCAATCTCATCAGTTTTTTGCGAAATTTATTTCTATTCAGACTTGTCAGTTGTTGTTGTTTTTTATTCTCATTTTAGGCTGCGCAACGTCTAGATCTCAACAGTTCAATACCGTTCGTTTTGTTTTTCCTGTTTGTTTATTATATGTGTTAATTTCACATTATTTATTTAGGCAATACACACATGTATATTTATAATCTATTTTTCAGATTAGAAAATTTCATATCTTCTCTCTCTCTGTGTGTTTTAAGTTATTCGTGAATTTTTATCAAGATCTTAGAAACAGAGAGAGAGAGAGAAACAAAACAAGAAATGTATGAACGAAAATTATGTTTATGGTATTTGATTACTTGTTATTTGATAATTGTTATTTATTCAACAAAATCAAAAAAATACCAAATTGATCCGAATGGTTACGTATTGTTTTGTCCATGTATGGGTGAGTTTAATTCAAATATAAGATAACAGTTGTTTGCATTTTAACTATGTGTGATTGGTTTTTTTTAAGGTCGATTTGGTAATCAAGCTGAACAATTTCTTGGCGCACTGGCTTTTACACGTATTCTTAATCGTACACTTGTTTTACCACACTGGATAGAATATCCACAACGAGCTGCTGGATCATTTCAGGTCCCATTTGATCGTTATTTTGAAGTAGAACCATTAGAAAGTTATTTAAAAGTTATATTGATGGATGATTTCATGAAATATTTAGCCAATGATGTTTGGCCAAAGGGACAACGAATAGGTAAGTTTTCAATTTGCTTTAACACTAGAACGCCCGTAGACCGTTTTGACCGCTTTGTAATTTTTATCCTTAATAAAACAAATTGCATACAATTTATTTAAAAATAAATTATGTCATAACTTTTAATTTGCCTTAAAAAAATTATTTTTTGCAGAATTTTTAATTCATTTTTGAATTCAAAACCATTTTTAAGTATAAAATTTAAAAAAAAACAACAGTAACGGTCAAAATGACCGCTTTGGGCGTTCTAGGTCATGAAAATTTTCGGGCGTTCTAGTGTTAAACAAAAAAGAAAAATAAGTTGAAATCTCTTATCATATTTCTGAATGGAAGTAACAGATATTGAAAGTTGATAAGAACAACAGAAAAATTCTACGTTAAATTATTTCGTCAATTTTCTAATTTATATTTCGTTGAATACGTCCATTTAGTATTTTGCTATACTTCTCGAAAAAATGAAGATAATCAGAGTGAAGGATGTAATGCAAAAGAAGGAAATCCATTTGGACCATTTTGGGATAAATTTTCGATTGATTTTGATCAAGATGTTTTTTATCATCCACTTTATTTTGATATATCAAGTGCTGGAGATTGGAATAATAGGTATGTAAAAATAGTGAAATCTTATTGTTTTAATGTATATCTATTTGAATTATAGATATCCACCAAGTAAATATCCTGTTTTGGCATTTACTGGACCTCCGGGCGCATTTCCTGGTATGAAAAAAACAAAAAAAACATTTTGTAAATTTGTTTGATATAAATAAATAAAAATAAATTCTTTTTTTCTGTAGCTGAACAACGTCATGTTCATCTGGCTAAATATTTTATTTATTCTAATTATATTAAAAAAAAAGCTGAAAATTTTTTAAAAAAACATGCACCAAAATATAATCAAACTAATTTGTTAGCAATACATCTTCGAAATGGAATCGATTTTGTAAGTATTATTATCTTATGGAATAATATCTATTGTTAATATTATGGTTATTAAGAAACGAGCATGCGAATATGTCATACCGAAATCGAATTTCTTCGCTTCAGCACAATGTCTTGGTTATAGTCTTGAAAAAGGCATTGTATTATCAAGTGAAATTTGTTATCCAAGTCGTAATACTATTATAAAACAAGTAAATATTTTACAAAATATAAAAATATACTAGTAAGAAGTATAGAAACTAAATATTTAATTTTATGTTCTAGGTAGAACATGCAGTTATTACTCACAAACCAGACTATCTATTTGTAGCTGCAGATGAAGATCATATGATTCAACAATTTCAGAAAACACTAGAAAAGAAATATAATGTAAGTTATCAAGATTTTTAGATATTGATAGCAGATGAGAACTGTTATATAAAATTTACATTCTTGTTCATTTTTTAATTTATGTTTATTTTATTTTGTTTATTATTAGCTTAAAGTACTTAGATATGATGGTAATGAAAATGTAAATGAAGCAGCTCATATTGATCTTTATATTCTGGGTGTTGTTGCTAATCATGCCATTGTTAATTGTCCATCCACATTTTCCGCATTTGCTAAACGTATGCGTGATGTAAATGAAAAACAAACAGATTTTTGGGGTTTAGATGTAAATGAGAATGATCAAAAAGAAAAAATTGAAAATTATGAAAATAAAATTGAGCTTTGATGTATTTTTTTTTTTGTTTTTATTTTTTTTTACTACTTTGTTGTAGTGTATTATATACTCCTATTGTTTTATGGTGTCAAATACATCTAATTTATATTAAAAACAACAGTAAAATTATTTTATTTAGTTGGAATCTCTTCTTTTCTTTGTTATAAGTTATCTCTATATTTGGTAAAAAAAAATCTCTCTTACAACCTTTTTATTTTCTTCCATACATTCCAAATTTATTTGGAAAATATGTGATATAGTTTTTCTCAAGCGGGTGCTAAGTAAGTTAAGCGTATATTTATATTTATATATCTGAAAATTGTGTTAATTGTTCATTTTTTTTTTAATTATTCAGAATAGATTTTTAAATGAAAAAATAAAATATGATTTTTGTTTTTCTTGTTTTGAGATCGTTTGTTGGGTATCTTTTGATGCTTATTCTATTTATTTTTTTAGTAAATTCTTCTTATACGAAAATATTTTATATATCATCATCATCATTAAGAATCGAAAAAAATATCTTACTATTGAAAAATGAAACTTTTTTTTGTAGTGTGACTTGTTTGTTATGATAAAATATATTTAAAACTGAAAATAAAAGAAGATCTGAACACATTTATTTGCTCTTTTTTTTTTGTAGGTAACAAGTGAGTCATGATTGATTTAGATAGAATAACATCAAGTTAGAAAGAAAAATATGTGCTCAAACAACAACTTGTGAAAGATAAATAACTGTACATGTTTTCTTTTTTACGATTCATTTTTCAAACGAACTAAAATAAATGATCCGTCTTTTTGATTTTTGACAGTATATATTAAATAAGGATTTTACCTAGCGGAAACGTCTGAAAAAGAAACTTTTAATTGATTAAAAAAGAACGATCTCTCTCAGTTTTAGCAAATATCAGACATCTCTAGCAGGTTTGGCTAGTTATTAAAATTGTGAACTTGATGATACTAAATAAGTATTATCAAATATCTTGCTTTTGATCTTCTGTTTGTTCTATTTCATGCGTTGATATTGTTGTTCTCACTGGATTTATTTCCTCATTTTCATTTTCATCAGTATCATTTTGATTCTGTTTAACTGATAATGATGCTATTTTTGGTAATTGACGTAATGGTGACGATGTTGCAATTGGATGTAATTTTTCTTTATCACCACTTGTTCTTTTTCTTTTTTCTGATTTTGATTCGTTCATATTTATATTATTAGTGGGATTAATAATAGAACTTGTTGTTGTTGGAAAACTGGTTAATGATGTATCAACAGATTGATATTTTCCATTTATAGTCTTACTTGAATGATCTTTTTGGTGACGATTTTGGTGTTTTGTATTTTCCATTTCATAATTAAAACTATTTTCAATCAATTTTTGTCTATCATGATTAAAACTACTATCTAATTTACTCGAATTTCGTCGTCTTGCCGTTGAATAATTAGGAACACAATCGTAACCATTTAATTTTGCATAACCTGATGAACCTTTAGTATTAATACGAAGATAATCGTCAGCTATTGTTTCATCTTTCATAGATGTATTGTGCTAAATCAAATATAAATAATATAAAATTACTTTTTTCTCATGAATTTAGATGTTTACCTGTATTTCTTTTTTCTTTTTTAGTTTTCGTCGATTTACATCTTTTGGTGGACTATATTCTCTACTAAGAGTTTTACGTACCACATCTAAAACCATTGGATTTTGAAAAAATTTTCGCAAATGTGGATCATCTAATGGTTCATATTTTTGAATTATTGATTCTTGACGATTCTGATGCGCTGTTCGAATAGAATCATTTACAAATGAGTCTTCTCTTTCAAATAATTCAGCAGCACTTTTGTCATTTGTATAAAAATTAGATGGACGAATTGTAATAGGATAGCCAAATTTCAATTTATGCATTAATTTTAAATTTGATCGTGTTAGACCTCTACTTCCACATCGATTTCCTGTTGGAGACGTCTAAGAAAATAGTAAATGAAAAAAAACTGGGTGATAGATAGAAAATTGAAATAAGAATGAAAAAGATTTTTATCAAAAATTTCCAAACTTCACAAAAGGCTCTTGCTCCATGTATAAGATGTTATATCAGATAATAAATAAATAAACAAATAGAGTATTGAAACAATATAACGTTTCTGTTTTAGACTGGGTTCGTAATACTCCTCGTTTCCTCTCCTTTCCTCTTTAATCCAAGACCACCCCTCTTTTTGAGCTAATTTTCCTCTTTTTCTGGGATTTTTTTAGCAAGAACACCAGAATTCACGCTATTTTTAGATCTGAAAGTAGTGTCAGATATATTTTTTTATCAATGCCGTCATATGAAACAAAGTTCAATCACTCGTGGTTGCAAAAAACAGTAGATGAAGTCCCTGTGAGACGATGGTTAAAAGCAGGGTGCTAAGGAATCACCGTTCGTATGTACATTGTGTAAATGGGTGAATTAGATTCAGGCCCGTAGCCAGGATTTTTACGAAGGGGGAGGAGAAATCTACTTTTTTGCCTTCAGAGATGGTATGAAGTCTTATCAACTAGCAACTTTTTCTGACGGTATTCAGTGAAAAAAATAATTTTTTCAAAAGTCAAGGGAGGGGACCGGTTCCCCATTCCTCTCCTGGTTACGGCCCTGATTAGATTGTAGGAACAAAGGATGGATAGTATAGCATATGAAGGAAGATAAACACCCTGAAAAAATCAGAGAGTTGAAAGAAAATATCGCATTCGTTAGCGATGCTATTTGAACAGTCAGATATGTTTCTGTGTTAAACTAGAATAACTCCTTTTTCCTGTGTTTTTCTTAGTTTTTTACTCGTAAGACATGGAAAAAAATACTTTAAGTAAGATGAAATCTTTTCTTTGAGAGCCTTAAGTCACTTGGACGCGTACACAACATTGGCAGTACCGTTTTTCGGCCAAAAAAATGCCTCCTCTTTTTTACCCAAAACTCCTCTTAAAAAGTTGTTAACGTTCCTCTTTTTCCTAAAAGGACCGTTACGAAGCCAGGTTTTAGAAGAAAGTTGCATCCCTTCCACAGGATATTGTAGCATTCAATTCACTAGTGCAAAACTAGATTACAAAACCTTTTGAAGGGAACATACGGAAGTAATTCTTGAGATGTACGCTAAAAATGTTTTTGTTGTTAAAATGAACCGTTTAATCAGGAAAACACTAAATTATTTCAACTCTTGATTTTTCTTACTGATCTACTTCTGCCTAAAGAGCCACTATAATCAGATGCACAACTTCGCGAACGACTTGGTGGTTTTTGATTATTAGTAAGTGATGATAATGATTTATCTGTAAGATGTGATATAACACTGTTGCCTTGTACACGTATACGATTTTGTGATATTTGTTCTTGACGTTTTTTTGATTGTGTTTCACCATTTTTTCTTATAGGTGGCAATGTATTATTTGATTTTGTTGAATGTCTTTGTTCATTTGGATGTACTGATTGTGTATAACGACTAATATGACGTTTTTTCTTTGATTCAATATTATCTCGAATTGGATCATATTTATAACTGAGTGTAGCTACCTGCATATCAAATATATTTATTCCAATAAATGATTAATAATCCTAAATGACCTACTTAATTTATTAAATTGAAATAGTGACTACGAACAGTTATTTTGCTACTATATTGTACATTATATTTGAAACTATGACATATAAAAAAAGAAAAACACCAAGGTTTTTTTTTTTTCTTCTTCTTCTCTAGACAATACTTAATGGAATAGTTTTTAAAATATTTTTAAAATAATTCCATTTACACAAGAAATTGTTTGATTTTCATTTTTGGTTATTTTTTCTTTTGTTTATAATGTGTATATGTGTATCAATATCCTACTAGACACTTTTAACTCTATTTATATAGAGAAAATGTGCATTTAAACGTTTTTTCTTTTTGTTCTCATAATACGAATGTTTATTTTCATATTTAAAGAACAAAAAAAGAAACAAAACAAAAACAACAGATTATTGAGATATTATTATCATTTATATTGTCTTTGCTGTCGACTGATTGAGGATGAATCCTCAACATACTTTAGGTTATTTGATTCATTATTAAAAAAATCTTCTATATATATTTATTAGTTGCTAGATATGACATTAGCAGTGAATAAAACGATGACCTCTCGTCACATCTATTTCTTTTTATATATGTTGAGAGAGAGAGGGAATTTTTAGCTATTTAAATGAAAATATTCTAATAAACGTGACGATATTTTTCTTGGAAGTATTATTAACTTAAAATAATTAAAATTACCTCCTTTTAGTGAGCTTATTGAAAATTAAAATTTATTCCCTTTTAGTGTTGTTGAAAGTGTTTGATCACCATCATGTTATCTTTCAACAGAATGATTGGTATAATATAATAAAAGATCTGCATTCTCCAATTCAAAATTGCTTTTTAAAGTAAGTACTTTATTCAATCCATAGTGACGAACAAGCCGGATATTTAGTAAAAAAGAAATGTACTATAAATATTTGATGTGTATATTAAGAAAACTTCTGTGTTTTATTTCTTTGACGAGGAAACATTTCTTTTCAAAATAAATTTACAAAAGACCACATCCATACTCAGTTCATCGAATCATGTATAATTAAAATTTTTTCGGAAAAAAATTGAGAATAAAAAATTTCGATGAGATCTCATTCATAAAAAAGAACTTCAACTACTAAAAATGAACGAAAATTTTCACAATGTGCAATGTTTAGCGTGCAATTCGATTTGAATAAAATGTAAACATACTTTCAATAAAGGTAAGAAGATTTTCAGATTTGAGATCATACACGTTTCCAGTAGTTTTATTTTAGCTGAAATTTATGCTTTTTTTCGAGAAAAACATAGAGTAGTAAATTGCCCGTTATTATTAAGGGTATCCCCAACCCTCCTCTCTTTTTTGACCTTCTTGAAAACCGGGGAAGCCGATGTCGGATGAGATTGAGGAGGAGGGAAGTTAAATTCATCAGCAAACGGGTTTCTGATTGTTTTGCTTATTTTGACTTGACTGTTGTAGAAAAGAGATTTGGTCACATGTTCCAGTTGTTCTTATGGAAAATAAGCTCAAAATAGGAAGAAATTATTTTTACAAGAGACAAATTGACCTAAAAGACGGTATCAGAGATGTTTTAAGTACTTTTTTTTCCATATACAAACGAGGATCCAACTTGTATTTGATATAGAAAAATAGCCACTGAAAAACTGATTAAAATGGTATATGAACCATAGTTATGTACCATATTATTAAGAAGAAATAGTTTATTTTCAAGCATCCCCTATCTAGTGACCATGCTTGAGTGATTATAGTTTCCCATTTTCTCTAATAAGCAAGAGACGATCCAACTAGTCTTTAGTATAGAAAATTAGCTCTTGGAAAGCTCTTGAGTAAACAAACTCTACATACCATTAGCTTAATCGATTATAATTCAAATACGAGAAAAATCAAGGAAAATGTACTCATATTTTGCAGGTTTCGCCATCAAACTTCAATTTTTTTCTCAAAACCAACATCATATTTGGAATCACTGTGAAAAACTACATTGAACAATCTTTGTTTTGGAATTTTTAGACAACTTTGATTTTTCAGCAAAAATCTCGGTCTAAAAAGTCGAAAAAAAGTATTTTATTTAGTTTTCTCTAGTTATTTTTTCATATCAAGGTTTGTGTGAAACTTATGCTGGATTTTTCAAAAATATTATTTTTACTAACAACGACGCCCTCTGACGGAATCTCAAAATAATCAACATTAAAACGTATTTTGAGCTTATTTTCCATAAGAACAACTGGAACATGTGACCAAATCTCTTTTCTACAACAGTCAAGTCAAAATAAGTAAAACAATCAGGAACCCGTTTAAATTAACCGAAGTTAACCCCTCTCCTTTGTTTGAGGTTGAATAGAATAAATTGCTTGATACAAGTTTTTTACAAATGAATTGCACTATTTATATTGAGAAAGAAAATCGATGTATTTTTATCTAGAATTTTCTGACGTGTTCTTTCTTCTATGGGTTTTAGGAAGAACTTCGGTTTCCATCGGCTCACATTATGACCCCTCGAAAAAATAGTCCGATCGAACTCAAAATTTTAGCATAGATACTACAGGCCCTATATCAGGTTCGTTTTTTTCTTTTCGAAAAATATTCTTTCCTTCCCGAGATATCCGAAAAATGCTGAAAGTCCCGCCAAAAAAGTCAGTTTTTTTCGGATATCTCGAGAAGGAAAGAATATTTTTCGAAATGAAAAAAGAGAACCTGAGATAGGGTCTGAAGTATCTGTGCTAAAATTTTGAGCTCAATCGGACCGTTTTTTCGAGGGATCTTAATGTGAGCCGATGAAAACTGGAATTCTTCATAAAACCCAAAGAAGAACACGTCAGATAATTCTGAGCAAAAATACATAGATTTTCTTTTTCAATCTCTGGTATAAATCTCCCGATCCGACATTGGCTTACTCGGTTTCTAAGAGGGTCAAAAAAGAGGGGGGGG